TTTATAATAAAACTTTTTAATTGTTTATTTACAATTATATTTTTTAAATTAATATAATTTTTCGTTAATATAATTAATTACTCGTTTATAACGTTTAAATCTTTTTAATTAACGTTATTTAATTAAATACGGCTTTTTTTAATTTTTTATATAAAAGTCTTTTAATCGTAAATATTATTAATAATCGGTTTAATTAATAATAAATTTAAATAAAGTTTCGTTAAAACTTTAAATAAAACTTTAATAATTTTAAATAAATTTTAATAATAATTTTAAATAAAGTCTTTTTAATAAACTTAAAATAAATTTTATTATAACTTTAAATAAAATCTTTTATTAAAACTTTAAATAAAATTTATTAATTTTTTATTAATTACTTACGTAATTACTTTTAATTATTTAATTAATTATTTTATTAACTTTATTAATTACTTTATTTATTTTTTATAATAATTTTTAAATATATATAATATAAAAACCGGATTTTATTTTAAATAAAATTAATTTTATATTATAAATACGTTATTAAATTAAAAGAAAATTATAAAACATTATTTTTTTATATAATTAACTTTAAAGTTTTAAAAACCTCGTTTTTTTTAAATGTTTTAATCGTAATTACTTTAATTATAATTTTAATAACGTTAATTATAATTTAATTAAATGATGTAAATCCTCGATTAACATTTAATATTTATTTAAATAAAAAAATGTAAACAAATATATTAAATCTTTTAATATAAATTTTAAATTATATTATTTATAAAAAATATTAATAAAAAGTAAAAACTTTTATTTATATATTAACTTTTTATTTTTTATAATTATTATTTTAATTTAAAAATGAAATATATATATATATTTTATTTATAAATATAAATATAATTTATAATTTTATTAATTAAAAAAAAATCTTTTAAAATAATAATTGTAAAAAATTTTAAAAATAAAATACATATTAAATAATTTAAATTACTTTTTATATTTAATTTTTAATAATTTTATAAATATTATTTAAAATTTTATATAATTTATATTATAATTTAAATAAAATAATAATAAAAATTACAGTTTAAAATACACGTAATTTAAATTAATATTCATTTAAATACGGTTAAAAATAAATATTTTAATTATTAAAATTATTATAAAGTTTATTTTTATATTTTTTATTTTTTATAATTTTAATATTTTTTATTTTTAATAATTTTATTAATATAATTTTATAAATAATTAATAAAAAATTTTTAATTTTTATGGGATTAAAAATTCGTTTTATATAAATAAATTAAATAAAATATTATAAATAAATTAAATAAAATATTATAAATAAATTAAATATAATAATTTAATTTACTTTTAAATTTAAATAAAGTTTAAAAAAGTTTTAATATTTAAATAATTAAATAATTAATATTATATAATAAAATTAAAATAAAATTAATAAATATTAATAAAAAAGTTATTTTATATAAAGTATTAATATCCGGGTTATGTTTTAATTAATATTTAAGCTATATTTTAATTTTTTTTAAGATTATATAACCATCTCGCATTTTTTAACTAATTAATTTTTATTATTTTAACCTTTTAATATATATATATATTTATATATATATATATATATATATATTTATTTTTTAATTAAAATAATTTTATAAATTTATTAAATTTTATTTTAAAATATATATTATTAAATAATTTATAAAATAAAAAAAATAATAATTTTAATTATATTATAATGGTTATTTTATTAAATTTAATACGTGGGAGTTAAAATGTATATAATATAAAACTTTAATTATATAACACGATTTATGTTATTATATACTTTTAATTATAAAATGTTTATTAATACGTATAAAATCAAATAAAATAACCATTATAATATAATCGAGATTATTATTTTTTTAATTTTATAAGTTATTTAATAATATATATTATAAGATAAAAAAATATAAATTTATAAAATTATTTAAATTAAAAAATTAATATATTAAAATTAATATATATATAAATATATATAACGGTATGTTTAAAGTATGTATTTTATAATAAAAGGGTTTTAAAAGGTTTAATTAATTAAATAAATGTAAAGTAAAGTTATATAATTATAAAAATATGTATTATAACTTAAATATTAATTAAAATATAACTTAAATATTAATGTTTTTTATATATATAAATATTTACTTTTTAAATATTTTAATTAAATCGAAGCCGAATTACGTATAATTTAAATAATATTTTATTTATTTTTTTTATTTAAATTTTAATATAATTTATATATAATTTAAATAAAAATTTATAAAATTATTAAAATAAACGTTAAAAAAGTAAAAAAAAATAAAATATATACCCCGTTTTATTATATAAATAATAATAAATATATTACATAATTAATATTATTTTAAAAAAAGTACATTTTTATAAATAATTTTAAAATTTTAATTTAAAATTATTTAAATAAATTATAAATATATTTAATATTTTTATAAATTTTAAGTTAAATTATATTTTTATTAATTTTTTAATTTTAATTTTAATATAATTTTCGTAAAATTTAAACGAAATATTATAAAACTACTAAAAAAAATGTAAAAAAAATGGTAAATAATCCCAGGTACGTACCACCTTATACTACGCACCTAATAAAAGGCATACTGCGCAACTAATGTTACTTTTATAAATACCATCACTTTACATATATTAAAGTGATACAATTCCTCATTCACTTCATATTATTCTACTCACTCCATGTCCTTTTTTTAACACATAGACTTCCACTATATTCCCCTTACTATTCATAGCTTATATTTGTATTATCACTCTCCAATCTCTGGTTTCCGGCCATATACAATCGTCCTAAAGCGAATTACTTGTCAGCGTCAAAATCCTAAACACGCGCAAAAGATATTGGGCTCTACCCCTAATGTTACAGCGGATGTAAATGGTACTCACACTTGAAGCCAGCCACAGAGGCTCTTTTTCTTCAGTTCCGTTCGATACTTGGCTACGAATAATAGGATCTCCTCGGCCGTCCACCCCAGGGCTTTGCTGAACAAATAGAGACAGAATCCTTCAAGACTCTGATCTAACATGGCGAACATCAGCAGGCCCGCCTGTTGTAGTTTGGGATCTCGTGGCCAGCCATGACAAGGCATCTTGACCTTGACGTCGTGGATGTCGACAAAGCCGGCTTCCTTCATTGCCTCCTTTAAAGTGTTGTCGTACCCGATGCGAAAGGACCGTCCCAATTTATCACCAGCTTCGTAGAACGCCTCGGCCCAGGTATTGAACATGTGATCTTCAGGAATTACCGCATGGTCTGATTGTATACGTACATCGAACTCTATATCCTCGAACCACTTGCCGGGCTTCAGGTGCTTGAAGGCCTTTTTATATAGGTCAGTCCAGTCAGGTACGCTCCCTGTTTGAGAAGAGTTGTTAGAATACATCTAGGTGATGTAGCGGGCCAGCTAGTTTTGGTTGGAGAGTTACCATAAAGCATCCTCATGTGGATATAGTCGAAATGGTTCTCAGGCCACGTCCAGTCGAGAAGACAATCATCAATCTCAAACTTAACATTCGGCGGCATCCACGCAGGCTGTATCGGGCTAAGATCGGTCCCTATCACCTCTGTCGCTGGATATACGTCTGCAAAATCGCTACTCTAGTTTAGCTGCTAGAGCTCGATATTATGGTCGTACGTTCCCCACGGAATACTTACATTGCCCATATCCCAGTTCCAGTTCCTACGTCGAGTACCTTCTGGGGATTTTCGCCGATAGGCGCAAGAAATAACTCATCGCCCAAGACCATCAAGGCGGCATTGTGGAGCAAGTCGAGACCCTCATTCTGTTGCTCGTCATTCGGAGCCCAGTACTCAGACGTCTTAGGTGCATTGAACGTCCTGCCGTGTAGTACGCGGTAGGCGTAGATGCTTTCTGTCAATGAACCGGTGGATGATTGTCTTTTAAGTGTCACTGTTAGCTTCAAAACGGAACCTAGATTACGGAAAGATGAGTATCGTTATACATTGAGCTACCGACAGCCGAATTGGCGTCGTCATTATCATCCGGCTCATCTAGGTCATCGGCCTGCATGCGATATCAATATCATGAACGAAGGAACTATGTAAGGCGGATGGTAAAAGGACAACCTACCACTTCGATATGTTGTTCAGTACCAAATGCTTCTCCTTCGGGCGTTGCACTTTTCGCAGGGCTCCTGGGAGACGTTGGATCTTTGGGAGATGTTGGGCCTTTGGGCGATGCTGGAGACGCAGCAGATGTGGTAGCTGCAGCAGATGTAGTAGCTGCAGCTGCAGCTGATGTTGTCGCCGCCGCCGCTCGCGGGGATGTTGTCTTTGCGGTGGTATCCGCCATTGCTCTCCTACGATATTTCCCGGTTAACTACCAGTCCTATGTAAGAGCCGGCAGTGCCCTGGGTGTGTGAGAAGAAAAAGAAGTTGACAGCAGTCAGACGTAAGCAGGTAGGGTGCTAAGTAAAGAGAGACGGGCACTAATCAACATAGCAAGAATATGGGTGCGAATATGAGAATATGAAGTACGGCTGGTCCCGCGCCACGCGGGCAGTGGAGAAAGTGAGTTGGCTGCATCTCGAAACGGGCTTTCTGACCAAAAGGGAATATTTGGTGCCAACGGCGTTGGTTCTGACTTACAAGGACCCCTGAATCTCAAAGCCAGCATTCTGGGTTCCATTAACAATTTTAGCCAATCAAATTAATATTCTCCAATACCTGCGGGGTACCGTTACTATCTTCGACCCATGGAAAGACGCCTGCCGAGAAGCTACCAGGAAAAAGAAGTGGATTGTCTAGGGTGTAAGATTTTCATAAAAATGACATGTCAGCATGTATCTCCTGTCTCGAATTCCAAACTCTGGCGGTGAGGAAGAGTCCCCTGGGGTACATGGATGTTTATATCGGCAAACCCGGACACAGGATATGCACCTCTTTGCCTCTTTCCCACAGTCTTGGGACGATAGTAGAATTTCTAGAAAAAGTAGTCCATTCGCGGATGAATGGAGAGGTTGGTAATATGACAAGCATGGATAGTGGATGAAAAATGATACATAACAATGACTAGAGTCCAAGAGTCCAAGAGTCCAAGAGTATTTCTTCACAACGAGTTTCGGCCCATCCAACCTGATCGGGTAGTTATCGCTTAGATAAATACCATCTTCGCCGTAGCATATTTCCGAGCTTCAAACTTGTTCCCGGCTGCGTTTGCGCCGATCACCAATGATAGTGCTTAGTTTAATTTCCACTTCCGAACCTCCTGGTTGATGAGCTCATCCCACTTTAACATGACCGGATGTTCCTTTGCGACGTCCTCCATCAAGATTTCACCATCATCTCCAGATCCTCTAACCGAATACTTCCAACTACCATCTGAGGTCCAATATTCCTCTGCGAATATGACCTCGGTGCGCAGTTCCTTTGATGCATCTGACAAAAGTTTGTTCATATGTGCCGAGCTATCAAGGCTGTTTTCTCTCAAAGCTGCAACCATACCCTCAAGGAGTCCTAGTAATCGACCAGCCTTCAGTCCGAGTTCAGCGCCCAGGTCAAACCCTTCATCGAACCCCGCCTGCATGCTTTCGGCTTTGCCAGCGGTAATACCATCGCGATATCCTTCAGTGGTATGTTGAGTTTGAAGTCTTCTCGTATCTGGTGAGAATATCTGGCTGTTCTCCGACTGGTCGTGAGGTGCCGCCAATTCGGTAAACTGCTGAGGATCCGGGCCGACCATGTCATCAACTGATTCAAAATAAGCTGGTGCATGAACAGGGTCCATATATGTATATAACTCGCTGTCCCGAGGTTCCGGCGGTGGTAAATGCATTGCGGATGTCTATTTTATTCGTTATTCGCTATTCGTTACAGTGATGAGGGGAAAGAGTGAAATGGTACCAACTAGTTTACTAACTAGTTTAAATAAAGTCTGATCGGTCCCAGAAAATTTTGAATGTGTTAAGTAATTCGTACCGAATTGTTAACATCAACCTGTGGTACGGTATTTACACGGTGAGACGAACCTTTTCCGTGAGCTTATTGAAATAAATAGCATAGACCGCCGATGTATAATCCATTTAATTGGGAATAAAAGACTTTACAACTCGATGATTGCCCGTCTCATACTATACTAGATAATTGAATATCTAGGTAAACACTTAAAATCATTCACACAATAGCGTATACGTACGTAAAAGATGCATGGAGATGGGGGCCTACTTTTGGGGAAGGTGTCAGTACCACTGTAAGGGGTAATAATATTTAGTATTTATGTGCGATTGCATCCTTCCTTATTCCCGATTAACGACTACATCCATTGTATATAGCCATGCTCTAGCCTAGGTATTCTGATAGTCGCCCCTTTCTTCTATACATGGCCGGTCATTATACTAATTGTACCGGAGACTAAATCTTTAATGTTAAGAATCAGATAACAAGTTTCTATAAGTAGGTTCGGAGTTTCTTGCGGGAGAGGAAAGTTAGTTACATGCCTCTTGGTCTACCTCGTGATATTTGGGAGTATCGATCTATGTAGCTCCTTGGAATAGTTGTCACGGGGTATATCAAGAAGCTTAGAAACAACCAAGTTATCCCGCGAGGAACTCTAAGCCGGTTATATATGTCAACAGCGTTCATTATGCTATGTGGGACATCTAGAATCTTAACAGGAATTCTGTATGCCATCCATATACATATAGAATTCAAGAGGGGGTAAGACGGGACATTAAGTAGGTAGTAAGAAACCGACGGCGTGGTCGGGCAAGTGATCCAGCTCGCCGAGTATTTAAAATACGTATATAATAACTTGGAATATATTGTTATTTACAGTAGGGCGGTAGACCCGGCATATACCATGAGCTTCATTCGCTGATCTAGGGCCAGGTTATTAATAGTATTCATAACAATACATAGGCTTAAAAAGATATACGTGGTAGGTTAAGAGATACCGAGTAGTGGAATACGGGAACATGAATATTATCTGTTCCCTAGTCGACCGATACATCCAGGGCAAAGAGCTCTTTGCTTTGTCGGTGACTTAGTCTTAGTTGGCCAGATCCATAGTTCCTCAGGGTTCAACAAATCTGTGCCGTCGCCCTTTATTTGCGCCCTTTAAAGGTATAAGTTAGGATGGCTTCTGCTCTACGGGACTCTCGAGAAAGCTGGGGACCTACGAGCCCATACGAGCCTACACTGCAAGTACGCGAGGAACAATTTAAATCAGGTACATGTTACTTGACTATGTCCCACCCTATTTACGAGCCTACCATATGGTAATGAACTCGACTCAATATTGGTACTAGCTATGCACCAACTTGCAATATCGTACGCATTATATACTAATAGCCGATATTGACGGTTCATTGTTTATTCCACCATCATATTCAAGGCCATCGAGGTGATTTTCTCAGGTGGCGGCGTGATAGAACTGACTTGTTAAATATACCAAGGGGCACAACCTCGTTAATTTACCTAGACTTCCTATCAAAAAGAACACAGTTGATAAGAAAGTTTAGTTTTGTCAGGCTTGAGATACCGTTACATATAGACAGTCAGTAAAACAAATAGTCAATACCGATGGAAAACGGGACGGATCACTCTCTAAATTACACATAAACTAACCAAACCAGTTTAAAGACATATTTGTATCGTATAGTCTCCCGTCTTATAGATAATTATAGTCTTCGAGGTATTGGTTAATAAGGAGCCGGCTATCATATTTAAGTATTTAAAGTTCCAATGACAACGCTGGGGGACTATTGAGACTTACATATCCCAACTTTATATGAATTGTCTGAGCCGATTATCAACCATCCCGTACTATAATCATATATGCAACTAGTTTCGTTAATTATAACTCAAGCCATTATAGATATAATGAAGTACTTATCTTACAAACGTAAACATAAACACATGAATACACATGAAGCATTCGTTAACAATGGTCCGAAACTAATCCCACTAAGACAAAGCCCTCGGATCTTAGATTTTAGAATCAGTCCTAATTAGTCCTAATCCCTTGGGTCGGATTGGTTGGAGATATAATAGCCTTGGCTTACGAAATGCCACACCGAGCCATTCCTACCCACATCGCCACCCTGCATCGATCATCCTAACCCATGTCCTACATAGCTCATTATCTAAAGTGAATCTCAACCCTTATCTTTTAAATTCGCGGCTTGCTAGTTTTGACTCGTTAGACTAGCAAATTTGCACCTTGAAAATTTCGAAGGACAAAGCCCTCTAGCCATTAGCAGCACATTGTGGCTGGCTTTGTATTAAATACCTAATAAGCGATAGGAAAGCAGTAAATCTACTAGGTAATCTACATAGTAAAGATCCCCCTCCCCCCATGTTCGAAGCTAAAATAGAAATGATAAGATCTGTAAAGGTATTATCTCATCTAATTAACACTAGATGGTCACTAGCCAATACCGCCGTGATTAGACATCTTCATGCCTCCCCAACCTGCTGGAATCGTATTTTTCTTTTCTTTTCATCTAGGTGCTCGCGTGCCGTGTGGCTTTTTGGCCTTTCGCCTTGCGGATATTTCTTATATGCTGACATCAATATTTCATCCTTCCTATCTCCCCTCCTCTTTCATACGACAATCCTAATTCCTAGCTGGTCTTATTTGCGACTCACTTCGGTTTACCGTTGTAGAGCTACTGTGTGACCTACCAAACTTGCTAGACTAGAGGTTACTCATCAACATGGCGTGGGTTCGCGATTTCAATGTTAGGGTTGCGAAGAGTCCTGTCGGGCGGTGGTTCCAGCTCGAGGGATCAGGTCACGTAAGCTATCCTATGACACCCGCGTGGCCAAGTTCCACGACGGAGACTTGATCATTGACGAGGTTATTATATTGGAATATAGCCCAAGGAACGAAAGGGATCCCATTTCTTCACCGAGCTGCGCGCTGGAGTTGCTGCCTTTTTCGCTATGGCTTATATCATCGCGGTTAACTCCAGCATCGTATCTGACACGGGCGGTACGTCTCTACTTGCTCTCACCACTCCACTAGAACTTAGGGGGCTAACAACTACTCGAAGGTACCTGTGTGTGCAACGGCGGACTGGATGACCCATTGTGTAAAGTGAACGAGGAGTATTTGTTGTGTGCTGCTGAAATCAAGCGTGACCTCGTCACGGCGACGGCTGCCATCTCCGCGCTGTCGTCATTTTGTATGGGCTTGTTTGCAAACCTGTATGTGCTACCTTTCCTATCTAATATGGCTCTAGAGCCTAGCTAATGAGCCCTTCTAAATCATAGCCCGGTCTCTTTGGCTCCTGGTATGGGTCTGAATGCTTACTTTGCTTATACCGTAGTTGGATATCACGGTGCGGGGCTTGTGCCTTACTCTGTAGCTCTAACGGCCATCTTCGTCGAAGGATGGGTTTTCTTCGCTCTTGCTTTATTTGGTCTCCGTCAATGGCTCGCTAGGGCTATCCCGCGATCGATCAAGCTTGCTACGAGCGTGGGTATCGGCCTCTTTCTAACCTTGATTGGGTTGACATATAGCGAGGGCATCGGACTTGTGACTGGTGCACAGGATACGCCGATGGAATTAGCTGGCTGCTCAGCTGTAGACCCAGAGACCGGGCTTTGTCCCGACGGCGACAAGATGCGTAATCCAAAGATGTGGATTGGTATATTCTGCGGTGGAGTTCTGACTGTGCTCCTGATGATGTATCGCGTGAAGGGGGCTATCATCGCTGGAATCTTACTTGTCAGTATTATTTCGTGGCCACGGGGAACTTCTGTCACTTATTTCCCATACACCACCGTGGGCGATGACGCTTTCGATTTCTTCAAGAAGGTTGTCGACTTCCATCAGATCAGCAAGACCCTCACCGTCCAACGCTGGGATATTGCGGAATATGGGGGTCAGTTTGGCTTGGCATTTATCACTTTTCTCTACGTCGACATCCTTGACTGCACAGGAACCTTGGTAAGTACACTCTGGAGCTATTTTCTTTCCTATTTTGCACCTACCTTCATATATATGCCCCCCATAAATGGTAGACTGACTGACACTGGGCGTTCTAGTATTCGATGGCACGATTTGCCAAGGTTATTGACCCCGTAACCGAGGATTTCGAAGGCTCAACCGTGGCATACATGGTTGATGCGATTAGCATATCTATCGGATCTCTTCTAGGATGCCCACCTGTCACTGCCTTCGTCGAAAGTGGAGCTGGTATCGCCGATGGTGGGCGGACCGGTCTTACTTCGATGACTACGGGCCTGTGTTTCTTCATCTCCATCTTCTTTGCACCCATCTTCGCGTCAATCCCTCCATGGGCTACAGGTTGCGTACTGGTTTTAGTCGGATCAATGATGATGCGAGCAGTGACTGAGATTAACTGGACTTATATTGGTGATGCCATTCCAGCTGTGAGTAGCACCTGAGACTCTCTGTTTCTATTCATTCATGTGATGGTGACCACTAGCTAACTCCATATGCTCCAGTTTGTTACTATATTTGCAATGCCATTTACGTACAGCATCGCCGATGGTCTTATCGCTGGCATTTGTTTGTATATCTTGCTGAACACGCTGGTGTGGTTGATCGAGAAGGCATCCGGAGGACGTATTGTCCCGCTCAACAAGTCTGAAAAGGACCCCTGGACCTGGAAACTCCGTGGTGGTATATTACCACCTTGGGTAATGCGCCTCTATACTGGCAAGAGTTATTTCTTCCAGGATACTCCTGCGGCGGAATCAAGTGTTGATGTACCTGGAGAGGACCAGATGGCAAAGACGAAGTCGAAAGAACACGGAAGAGGTCACACCGAAGAGTCTACATTCCAGGTTCAAGAGAAGTCTACTTAAACCTCATCTATATATGATGTAACGTGTATTATATATAGCCCACCCTATGCATATATGGCATAGATATCTGTCTTGGATATATTTTACTGGGTGGCCTCATAACACACCTTCTATAATGTTGGGACGGAAGCTATAATGTTGGGACGGAAGAATGATTTTGGATGTATGTTACGTTAAAAAGAACTTTGTATCATAGATGGGTGTCGTATGGGTAAAAATGGAATCGTTGTAGAGGTTTTTTCTTTTTCTTTTAACTACGGATGCTGCATTACCCTCGATGGGATTTGTATACTAGCTAGCTACTAGTATCAACTAAAGTGACAAAGCACAAACCGACCCGGTGCTCTCTACCTGCTCCAATCCACATCCAGATTCCAAACGCCGTATCGAAAGTGCTAAAATTAATAAAACAGTCCACTCCGTATAAATGCTGCAATGGATGGGCTCGTCACACGCCCATGGTGAAATCGTGCTCGATGCCAGGGGTAACGCTGGCCATGAACTGGACTCTAGTTAGCACTGTCTAATCTTTCATGTACTTAGGCTTGGTTTCATATTCAAAAATATATTCACATACCTTAAGAAATACAACGAGGTATTGGTCAACTCGGATGGCTACCTCTTGGTCTTCTACCTCCACCTCTTCCCAATCGTCATTACTTGATTCGGCAGCGGCTTCAGCGCTCTTGACATCTAGCTTATTGATCTCGTCCACTAGACCTTCCATGCCGGAATCGATGCCAACTGCCTTTCCGGACTTCATCTTGTCACGTCTTATTTTTAAGGCGGCATCCGCGCGATCCAGGAGAGTTTTCATAACAGAGGCATGTTTGCAGGGATGCACGCTGGCCATCTTGACGTTGTTGGCAAAGAAAGGGAAGTCTTCCAATGTCACCGTCTTGTCCTTATAGTCGCCAACGATATCCTCCATCATCAGATGAGGAGCGAGGGGTTGTCCTTCGGTGTAGCCTGATAGATATAGACGGGGTGTGCGGTAGTAAGGGGAATACATGATATAGAGGGTGTACGTGCGACGGGCCCTACAAGATATAAAGTTAGCTTTTAGACATCCTAGACACCTACGTATAACAAGGGGAAATAGAAGCGGATGAGCACTTACGCTGTTCTCCTGTGCGGATCTGTATCGCGAATGATGGCTTCGTCGTCGTCATCGTCATCTTCCATGTCCGGGATTTCATCTTCATCATCTAGGCCATCCCCGATATTCCCCGCATCATCAACGGTTCGTACGTCCTTGGCTTTGAGTGGTTGCGAACTACTTAGACCACCTGTGCGTAGCCATCCATCATCGTCAGCTTGGCCTTTGGAGTTAAAATCGTCACCATCGCCAACCACTGCTTCTTCGTGGCCCGCATCTCCAGCAAAGTCTTCATCTAGGCGGCGGTTGCAAGGAACGTTTCGTGTGACTAGGAACTGCTTTCCGGGTGGTAAGTAGGACACGCGCTTGGACTCGGAATCGGCGTCTACCCAGGACCAAGTTGGGAATTTAAAGACGAGATAGTCGCCAGCCGCTAGAAACTCTTCGGGGGTGATCTGGCCCGTCTTTCGAAATGTCGATGTGTGGCTCACGGGAGTGTACTTGTCCCGGATCGTGTTGACAGTTGAGTAGATGAGATTCATCTTGGATAGATGTCTCCTGATTATGAATCACGCTTCGGTGCTTGCGTTCTTTTTTCTCAACTGTAGGATAGTAGGGTGGAATGATGGGAACGAAGGTATGACTGCTTCCGGGTTAAATAAATCGAAATGAGGATGGAAGAAACAAAAACTACGGATGATGGTGATGATGACGATGGGACGATGGCGAGTAAGAGTTGTTCGTGACGTGCGAGAATGCGTGGAATAGAATAGTGACCTGCACTTAATTGTAGATTAGGCTGCTGCTAGTGGAATTATAGGATTAATTTGTAGGCAACCTTTCCTTTTTTTATGAGCCCTTTTATATAAGCAAGTCGTCTTCATTCATGCACCTACTTTTAAAGTTGCTCGATAACGTTCAGAGGACTGGCCTTGTCACATGGGGGCGCAAGCAGGTAAGTAAGGCACAAGGACAAGCTCTATGGCAGCTGAGAGAGTGAGGAGGGGCAGCTCCGATTTCCTCCACTTCTCCTTATCTTATCATCATACGTAAGTGTACCTGCTCTAGGCGGCTGGGGTACTTTACTTGATGTACCTCAAGTACCTAGGTATACTCGTATATGTGCATCGGTTTAAGTGCACTGACCATATTCGACAAACGAAGCACTTTAGTTGATTTAGGGCTGTCGCTTCGGGTATTTCTCGGATAATTTGTTCCTGACTCCCCACGAAAATCGCAATCCAAAAATTTCGTTCGAGACGCAAGCAACACCACTTTTACTAGTCCAGACGTACAACACCCTACTTACGAAACTTTCCCTCTCCAAGATCACATTGAAGGTAAGCAAATATAACCAGATATTCCAAAAATACATATACAAAACTTAATCACGTTCCTCGCGTCGCCCGCCATACTGACAAGTAATTATCACACAGTTTCGCCGTCAAGATGAGTGCGTACCCCTTCGAAACGATATTTCCGCTGTCAACACCCGACTGACTTCGAATATAGCCAAGGGAACTTCCAGCTTCGGAAAGCGTCACAACAAGACGCACACGCTGTGCCGACGATGTGGTTAGTAAAATCAATCTCTGGGGACGATACGATTTTGTGTTATGCGATAGATTCGGATCGTACTCCAAGGCCATGGCGGAGCTTAATTGACGAGTATATCTACAGGACGTCGTTCTCTTCACATCCAGAAGCACACCTGCTCCTCCTGCGGATATCCCGCCGCTAAGATCCGAAAGTGTACGTGAAAACCTCGCTGTCGGGAGTGAACCAATTATCATACCGAAGAGTGGAAAAGGGTTGTCGTAATGTGGTTATGCGGAGCTGACCTCGATAATTATAGACAACTGGAGCGAGAAGGCTAAGCGCAGAAAGACTACCGGTACTGGCCGCATGCGCTACCTCAAGGATGTCTCCCGCAGATTCAAGAACGGATTCCGAACCGGCGTACCCAAGGACGCACGAGGTCCTGTTGCGAAATAAGATGTTCATTGGGAGAAGTGGTAGATGAGGGCACTGGCATGGCAAGGGAACGGTGTTTCTGACATTTGGGCTGGCTCATGGCGAACTCGTACATATTCTGAGTTCGGCGGAAATGTAATGCTAGCATTTCCGAACAAAATGGCATCATGATCTCACATGTTTGACGAGGCTCTCTAATTGTTACATGGCGAGTTAACTACTCGACGTCCGTGGGCCTTTAGGATGCCTATCGGTTTAGGGAAGATGGGTTTGATGGTGGGATCTAGTTTGAGCTTAGGAGTAGGCTCCTAGACCTAATCACATGAAGCTATCTTGACTGATTCAACCTATGCTTTTGCTCACTTTTTGTTTTCCTGGAAATGAATCACTGGCAATATGGTTATTGACCCCGTTCGAATACTTTGACTCCGCCATCGCCCGCTACGAGGTATAGTAATTCCCGTTCCTCGATCGTCCCATCTATTCCATTGTATCCGCCGCCCGGGGTGACTCTTATGACGCCACTTACGTCTCTAGCGGTTCCCGTATCCAGCATCCTCAAACTGATGACAAGGTTGGCATCATGGGCCAAGGCTATAGCGAATGCAGCGTGCTCCTTTTCTAACGGCGTCGTTTGTGATGACATTAATGGTTCATCTGCAGATAGGGTGACGATGGATGAATGTACTTTCTATTGCAAACTTATCATTAATCGACGATACATACTGGGGAAGCCATGGTATATATGACATGTTCGTTCATGGGCAACTTACCTCGCGAATACTAAGCAACGTATCCCGTAGTGCTTGGCTCGAAATATCGTTCCCAGAGGCAGCCAATAACAAATCCAACTGGTCAGAAATTAAGACGGTTCTTTGCTTAGAAGTAGAGCGCTGAACCTGCGCTACGGCATCTTCGAGTTCTTTGCGTAAATGGTGTAACGAGGCAACAGACAGGATCTGTCTCCCGGTGACAGTATCTTGCGGCTGCCCTTGGGGGCGGGTAGATGATGCGCAATACAAGCTAGAGAGACCGTCGACGAAGATGAACTTGCTCTTTTTGATTAATGCATCAAGATCAAGACCAAGTTTTCCGGCACCCTCCTTCCAGAAGGTGTAGTCTCGTAGAAAACTGATAAAAACTACACTAGTATTCTCTATGCTAGACGAATCGACATCCTCTTCTCTTGCTATCGAGTTGGATGGGGTCGAAAGTAGCGAGCAAAGATAGCGGAGAACCAGCCAGTTCGTACTCGACCCTAGAACCCCACTAAGAAGGACGAGGGATGTCTCAGGTGGTAGGTGGAGGTAAGTGTCTAGGAGGGGTGGAATTCGTGATGCCATGAGGTGAGATGCCGGGGCTGCACAAGATTAATTATCAGCATGGGGTTTCTACCACGGCCGACCACCGAAGACTGGACTAGATCGGTATCAGATTGTGGGGTATGCGAATAGTAAATGGCATAATGTTAGGTTATGATGTTGGCGGTCGGATCTACATTATGTATTGCGTATAAGAGAGCAAGCCGGAGAGCCGTATAGGAGATAGACGAGATAGGCGCCGGTATAAAACATTTCGGTCTGGCGCGGTAACGCGAGTGAAAATTACATATGTATGTTGAGCAGGGATCAATACGTACAAAGAATGATATAGCTTATCCGATGCGAGTCTTGGATAATGGCAAAACAGGTACGATTTGCTTCTGAAATCTTGAGATGTGCGAATTTCTTTCTTTATCTTGAGACTTTTTGATATGCGCCTGAAGAATTTAGGTGCATGTACTTATGCTGTGTTACCTGCTAAATTTCCTTTGTTACCCAGATGTACCTTGGACTGCTTGGCACATGTGCGGTGGATCTTAGGTACTTCGGCTAGGGAGAGGAGGTGACATATCACATGCATCCTACCTAGTGTAAATATGTACCCTTATGTTAGGTGCCGTCATAGCGCATGTTAGCAGGCGTTAGCGGTACAATGTATATTTACAGCGGCAGTACAGGAATAACTTCTCCGGCCAAGGGTCCGTGGAGATGGATACGGACTGGATTGGACGGCTGGACATTTGCGATCGACATTCTCATTCACTCCTCCCAACCAGCCAACCAGCCAACCAGGCCAACTTACATCCAACAGGTAGACTGTTATTATGTGCATAAGGTAATTAGTATGGAGATAGAATGCATCTTCAACGAATGCATTCTTCAATAGATGCCCTTTTTTTCACCGTTAAACACTCCGAGATTAACTAACTGATCGGATTGTTCCTTTGTTCGAGCTTATATATAGTTAATACATATATCTACATCTCCACTCACACCCACTCGATGGGAGAGCCGCTTCGTCCTAGCGGTAGATGGCGGCAACCTGACCTTGTCTCATGTGCCCATTGCTAGTGTATCACCGCCTGATCACCTGCGCAATGCAAGCCAAACCCTCAATGGACAACGACCCCATTTACAGACATCTTGAATTATCTTATTGGTTTAATACTGACCTTGCCATTAGCACGCTATTCTCACTAGGTATTCTCACTATGTAGGTAAATCCTCACTTGTAAATCGCTAATCCTTGGATGGTAACATCACGTTTACTGCTACTGCTGAGGGGGTTGTTGCTCAGAGTTGGCGCGGAGAGGTAAATGGATATAACAAGGTCTTGGGCACCTCCGTTTGTTTTTAAGACTCTCCTCGCATCTCTTTGTAGGCTTCAGACTAAGTTGGACTTTTTCATATCGGTCCATGCTTTACCGAGTCTAGACTCTAGAGCCGTAACTACTTATATTAGAAAACGTATAGATTTGACAAGACTATCGGTGAGTCGTATTCCTGTCGAGAATAGTCGGGAAAGATGGCAGGGGAGGAGAAAGGGATACCAAAGGGCCCACGGTGGGCATTCTTTCGGAGAAGGGCTGATGTTGATGGTAATGGCGAGCGCCGGAAGACCGAAAAGTCCCAATGGAGCATGGGAATGTTGAATGATAAAAAGACTATAGAGGTTCCAGGCAAGCTATCACGGTTTGAACCCTCTGATTCCTGATCAAATCTGACCTTTCACTTAGGATCTGTCTTGCTCCTTGCCCAGGGCCGAAATGAGCCCCTTGGGCTTCGAAATGCGCCAGCTAGGACATCTCATTCTTCCCTTCCCACAGGCTATCCACAACCACCGCCGCCACAGCCAGCACCCGGGGAGCAGGAAGACAAGAAATTGACCAAAGACGGGCAGATTATATTAGATCCGCAACCGGATGATTCACATAATGATCCTTTAAACTGGCCAACGTGGCGTCGGGATTCTGCTTTGCTTACTTTGGGTGTTTACTGTATGGTTGGAGGTGGAACGACACCAATTATCGCAGCCGGTTTCACTGATGTCGCGAAGGGTACGCACAGGGGAAACACCCACTTACTCAAACGCCTATAACTCTCTTCTTTTTACTAACTTACAGTACAGATTATAATATAGAAGTCGCCGACGTATCTCTTACTACAGGTTTGTATATGATGGGACTTGGAATTGGTTGTGTTATCTTCTCGCCTACTGCCATTCTGTATGGCAAACGACCAGTTTATCTTTTCAGCGCCATAATATTCGTCCTATCGACGATATGGTGTGCTCTATCACCTAACTTTACCTCACTTATACTGGCTCGTATCTTTCAAGGGATTGCTGTGAGTCCGGTCGAATGTCTTCCGTCTGCTACTATTGCAGAGATATTCTTCCTGCACGAGAGAGCGTACCGCATTGGTGTGTATACTTTATTATTACTTGGTGGAAAGAACCTGGTTCCTCTCGTAAGCGCTGCTATTATTGAGCGCCTCGAATGGCGCTGGGTATTCTGGTAAGTCTATTTTAGGATGGTCTTAAACGCCTACACTATTCATAGTTATCCGGCTAACATAACCCTTCCCTCCTTTAGGATTCTTGCCATAGTTGTTGGTGTTTGTGGAATCCTTCTATTTTTCTTCGTCCCCGAGACCTTCTGGGACAGAACTCCAATACCAAGATCACGTAAACATCCAAAGCGCCCTACTCTTTTTAGTAGGAGGTCCTCGGCTCGGCAAGTCTCGAAGTCCCATCTAAGCGGGAATGCTGTTCGTATTAGCGAGAAGCCAGCGGAAGGCGTGACCGGAGAGAAGCCTACAGGAACTTGCCATGAGGATACATCAAAGGAAACGCAGCCGCGGCATAAGAAAGCCCACGTCGGATTTGCGCCCGGTACCGAGGGAGAACCAGCAACGGGTTCAGAATACGCACACGATGCCCAGTCTGTGCTAGCGACAGCTTCCACGGCGCCGCTTGACGGTAGAGACGATAGAGACGAATCTACGGCGACTGGAGAGGCGATAACCTCTGTACCCACGACGACGGCCGATGATATACCACACACTACCCGTCCGATTGCTAGTCGCACGCAGTCGAACAGTAGTGCGTGGTCACGGGCTAACTGGGACGGCCCAGGACACCTTGGCCCGTCAACGCCAGACTCGCGTAGTTTACACTCGTCATACTATCAACGTCATACTGATGATTATTTCCGAGCGGAAGAAGGCAGCGTGCCTCATCCGGCTCCAGGAACCGTTCATTCTGATACCGAGAGTGAGAAGATGTCGTTCTCAAATTTAGGGACGATAACTACGGGTCAGGCTTACACACACGCTTTGCGAAACGCGCCGCCAAAATCCTTTGCCCAGCAGTTGAAAGTTCATCACGGGCGGCTCAGCCAAGATAAGTGGTGGAAGGTGGCTATTCGTCCTCTAATCCTCTTTTCGTACCCCTCAGTTCTATGGTCGGCCGCGGTCTATGCCTGCTCGATCGGCTGGTTGATCGTGATATCGGAATCGGTCGCTGTCATCTATCGAGAGGGTAGTTATAAGTTCAGCGCGCTGGGAACTGGCCTTGTCTACATATCGCCATTTATAGGTGGTGTTCTGGGCACGGCTGTGGCGGGCAAGGTTAGCGATATCATCGTTAGGGCGATGGCACGGAGGAATGGTGGTCTATACGAGCCCGAGTTCCGGCTCGTGATGGCTGCGCCAATTTTGGTGACCACGGTCATCGGGCTCATGGGGTTCGGGTGGTCAGCTTACGACAACGATGTTTGGATTGTTCCGACCATCTTTTTCGGAGTGGTCTCGTTCGGCTGCTCGCTAGGCTCTACGACATCGATCACGTTTTGCGTAGACAGCTACAGGCAGTATGCAGGAGAGGCCTTAGTCACCCTAAACTTCAGCAAGAACATATTTCACGGGCTTGTATTCAGTCTATTCGTCACCGAATGGCTTACGAATGAGGGTTCTAAGACAGTGTTTCTCTGGATTGGCATTATCCAGCTCATCCTGCTCCTATTTACGATACCCATGTACATCTATGGCAAGAGGGCTCGCATGTGGACTGTTAGAAAGAATTTCATGGAGAAATTCTAGAGAGTTCCCAGCTTCTAAATAGCTGTTTACATATGATTTGGTTGACAGCGAAGGTTGGCTTCTGTCACAGGTCAACTTGATCTCTAAGGAAATTTCATTAGTTATATGGTTGAATCATGGCAGATTTGGTATAGCATCTATGGCGCTTGACGAAAGTAACGATTTATACTTATACATACATATACACATATATAGAGTATAAATATTTCAATATATGATAGTTATAACAAATATGTTCTACGTCATCTATGTTAAGTACCTATGTAACTACATAAACATAATTACGTAACAACACATGTAAATATCCTCAAGAGTACGGATCCGTACTTACATGGAGATACTTGTATTTTACTTACATGTAGCTGTTATGTTCTACCTATGCTTCACACCATCTTCCGCTAGGCATCCCATTAACCACCATGAGGGGGGCCAGGATTCGATTACCAATGTTGACGGTTCTCTACTGGACTCCGGTGCGGGCCTTGTCCATGTCTCACCGTCTCAACGCCGCCAACCAAATATATTCTTCGTAAGTAAAGGCAGCTTGGTTCTCACGCAATATTATTATCTTGCCTTACAACTAACCCTTCTCGTTAGCGTTCGTCAGCCCGATAACTTTCAGACTTATCAGCTCTTATCGTCTTCCTCGAGAACCCCTCTCATAACCCTGTGGACTACTTCATGGTGTTCTACGTGCCGTGTTGTAGCGCCGCTCATAAAATCTGTCATCGAGTCTGGTGTAGGTGAGGCTGAGGGTGGCGTCGGATATTGCGAGGTTGAGTATGACGCCCCCGATATCATGAGCAGCTCGCTCGGCATGGACTTCATGGTTACTTCTATACCTACGCTACTCAGCTTTGACGCCGGAGAGGCCCAAATCAGCACCAAGGTAACTGATGGAAGGAAGCTAGCAGACCGGGCTTTTTTGGAAGAATGGATTCGAAATGAGGCGAGGAGACATGGCGGCCGCGGCGGTGGAGATGGGGGTCCAGGGATTCTTGGCGGGTTATTTGGTTCGTGGAGATGAGGTACGATCAACCTGCTTGGTTTATTACTATTGACAGCGAGTGTAATGGTACTTGCGATAGGGACCGTTTATAGTGTACGTATGCCGTACAGTTTCTCAGCAAGCTTTATCTCACTTTAAACCTGAACGCATCGTCACACATATACCATAGGATATAGGGTCAGCAGACGCAAGTGCCATATAAGTACAATTATATCTGTGCACTTATAACGTGAAAGATGTTTAGTATTTAGCTGTTGGACGTGTGCTTTTGTTTCTATTCTAAGTAGAAAACTTCTTCGACCTCCCTCCACCACGGAGGGCCAGATTCGCTACTATGAGCGCCGGGTACAAAGCTCTACGATCAAGCTCTAGTTAGCACTCTAGGGATTCTCCTCACAGTAGTAGAAGTTAGGAATATTCACCTCTTGGAAACCATCGGTCATGGCCCACCACTCTCTTACTTTTGGATTCTCTCGCATACGAGCCATATCACCTGCATAATCGTTCCCGACATATTTGAAGCTCGCAAAGAGGATCCCCGTACCGGGGTCGTGGAATATGCTGTCTGTAGTCGTCAAGAAAGGGGGGAACATTAGTCTCGAAACAGTTGACCCTATTTAGTCTAAGTAGAGGAGAAGTATCTTACAGTCCTCGATGTTGCAGGCTTTGATTTGCTCTAGAACCTCGGGCCACTTTGACGGAGTTAACATGCCTGAAGGAAAATACAATAACAGTAAAGGTTCCTTATATATGGACATCACGCACCACAGCAGCGTGTACTTCTTTATATTTTTCAATAAACTCTGGCTTCAGCTTAACAATCTGCGCGATGCGACGTGCCGTCTTCTTCGACTCCGGGTCGGGCGATTTGGTGATGCGAGCAGGCGGCGGAGCGTGTGGTTTCCACATGACGATACTAATAACGAAGGGTAGATATTACTTGTCGATTTGAGTTGGTATCTCTTAGATCTCTATAGTCTACCGGATTTGCCTTGTTTCTACGTAATATACACCTCTAGTCGAGGGGCTGCTTGCGTGGAGATACTTAATTAGGTAGTGTTACATGGGGTTCGGTGGAAGTTCACCGCGAAGGCGTCTAGAGCCAAGGGACACGGCCAGACGCGGGGAAACCAGCAAACCGAGATATCCAATCTAGACTCGACTCCGTTTGCTATTGGCCTATAAAGGACACTCCCTTTACGTTTTACCTTCCTCGGTTTCCTCTTTCTATGGAAGAAAAGCAGCACTGTTTCACTCTCTTCTTACCAACCACTAGGAACATACTCGTAGCTTAGCGTCTATAAATCCCGAGCATCTATTATTAGCTTACATCAGGGTCCCGCAAACACTCAAGGGCCTCCATATTGGCCACCACTTTGTTTGGTAATTGTACAAATATGTGATCAATAGTCACATTCGGTAGACCCCTTTTAGACGGGCCTACTCATTTTATATGCCAAACTCCGCCCATGCAACAGCCCATCCTCCCCTTTTCATATACCGGGCTTTAATTTTCTTGAGCCAACAGTAGTGACAACGTCGGTTTACAATCGTCCTATGTCGGCCGGTTCCTTCCATCCTATATTGCTATAGACCCATGCTAGCTGCCTCTCTTAGAGACGGATGCCTGCTAAATTGAAAAGCCGCCACCAATCCACTCCTTATTAAAACCGCGCGCAATCATCAAAGAGTAAGCCGTATTAAACTTCGAAGAGGGACAGGTACATCGCCCAGCGGCCGAGAAAAGGGAGTTACGCGTAGATCGCTTCGATTAAGTAGATGAGACCAAACACTAGAAATGCAATAGCGCCACCTACCGTCACTATGAAAATACTTGTGTGTTAGCAATTAGCTGTAGGATGTAATTCTCATATATCGCAACTTACCAACTTTCAAGCTCACTTTGCCGGCGATGGCCCTGCCGCCGAGGACGGCTACGCCGGTACAACATGCATGGCCCAGCACGGCGCCCAATGTCACCCACCAGTAGTCTTGACCAGCAGCCATGGCAATCGTTGCAATCTGACTACGATCTCCCCATTCCCCCAAGAAGGTCATGACAAAAGTTTGCACCCACGCGGGACTTAGAAGAAGTGAGAAGAGATTCGATAGGCCAACACCGAATCCGCTGAAAATGCTACGGCGAGGCGACGGGCTCCTACCTGGAGAGGTCGAGGGACTGCGAGGTGGAGTCGGGAATCGAGACTGGGACCTTGGCTTCCGGTCGCTGCCGAGCCCCATCTCCAACGCGTACGGAGATAGAGAGGAGCGCCGTCTACCTTGTTTTAGTGCCAAGTGCTCCTTCTCTTGTAGCTCCATCTCAACCTCTTGCATCTCTGCCGTAACACCCTCGTTTGGATCCATGGCCATGCCCTCACGTAGCAACTTCGCGCCGAAGATAAAAAATAGCCCTGCGGCTAGGAAAGTCGTCACTCTCTTTGGGATCAGGGCTGGAACCGTATGACCCATCACGGCAGATAAAACAGTCATGACCAGCAAGGCACCAAAAGCAGCCGAGAACACCAGCATACGGTCATGTTTCATGGCCATGAGCGCGGCAACGAGGAATGTTTTATCACCTACTTCAGAAAAGAGGATCATGGTGAGAGAAAGCACAAAAGAGTGGAAAGGTTGAATAAGGCCTTCATTGCCCTCGTCATCTTGCTCCCAAGTTTTGGTGGTAGATTTGGTAGGTTTCGATACGTCGAGGTGATCTTTATTGGCCGAGTCAGGAACGGGGTTCGGGTCGTCACGTAGTTTACCTGGTAGGTCCAATGGCTTCTGTGCGATAAGTTAGTACCCTGAAAGTAATATAGATTTGTCTTCGTACCTCGAGTCCGGAAACATCTTCTGGCGTCTGGTGTAGGTCAACTTTGCCCTTTTCCTTCTTATTAGCCTTTTCGCTCGTAATCTTTTCTTGCTCACTATGCGGCAACGGTGGTTTCTCCTTTGGGGTTTCGGGCACGTTCTCAACCTTCTCCCCAGTTACACCCTCTTTAGCTTTCTTGGCCTTATCTTTCTCGCTTACACCTCCTTCGGTGCCGGTTGTGCCCTGCTTAGGAGGCTGACGATGGGGGTCGTCCATGACGCCGTCGTTGCTCTCAGGTATTTTCTTCCCATCGATGACTGTAGGATCTACCGGTCGGTCTTTCAAGGAAGGGAGGGGTTTGGTTTCTATAACGTCATTGGCATCGCTCTTCTTGCGCCCCTTGTCAGTCGTTACGAAAGGACCCTCATGCGGCATCCCATCTTTACCATCTACTGGTGCGATTTTGGTGCCGACATCGACTTTGGTCGACTTGGAAGATCCGGCAGCTGAGTCCAGAGATTGGGACGACGCAATGCCCGCGCCCACAGCGGGAACATCTTTTGCAGGTTTCGTATCTAGTGTAGATGCGGCTAGGGCAAGGGAGGGTAGAAGTAGAAGAATAAACGGCGTTCGTCGTTGACGGAATCTCATGATGGGCACGAGATTGGGTAATCTAGTAAAGTTGAAGTTATTGCTGGAGATGTACAGTCGCCAGCCCAAATATGATGTGAACAGGTTTCCAACCAATCGACTATTATTCTACAAATATGATAATATTCCTTCCAAAGCCCGCGGCGGAGCCAAACGCAATTCGTGGCTAACAAGGATAAGACGGCGGTGCGATCCGTAAAACGGGGGCAAGTTTTAAGTTAGATGTACAGGAAAGACAGAAGAAGAAAGAAGGATAACGCCAATGAAGATGAATGTAAGGATTATTAGATTATAGTGCTGGAAAAACTCTTGAATGGAATCAGCGTGAAAAAGGGGCAAGAAACTTGAAGGTGGAAATAACAGGGCAGTAAGTATTGAAAGCGAGTTAGGTGAGTACCTAAGGTACGAAGTACGTGGTATGTACGCGACAGTAGAAGACTAAAAAGCTGGGGGGTTACAGGTGCTACCCACAAATTGCCTTTTCACTGTACTAGCTTCAAACAGCCCCAAAATGTCTTTTAAGGCACAGCAATAGGGCCGGGGCCGGGGCCATGCCGGGGCCATGCCATAAGTCACAAGTCACATGATATATAAAGTATATAATACATACATCCTGTAGTAACCCACTATAGAACGTGTATAACCTTAACTTTAACATCATTACATAAGTATGTAACAATCGGTTTAAATAACCAACTTTATTTTTATTTAAAAAATTACGCGTTTATTTCTTTTTAATATGATCATTAATCATCTCCGGATATACGTATAATTTATCCGTTTTATGTAATAAGGAAAAATAGAAAAACCCAAGCTAATGATTGTTACCCTAACCCTAACCCGACCCCAAAGGTTATATAACATCGAAAACCGCATCAGCGACAATTAGTAACAATTACAACAACAATACCAACAATACCAAACTCCATTCATATCGGCTCTCACCACAACGTAGTTACTTATCGTGAGTTTCCCACGCATTTATAAAACTCGCGTACATTTTCTCGATCTATAATGTCTGGGCGCCGTCGTCTGGCGACGCGTCAGACTGAGGCCGCTGAGCTAGCGGAGCCGGTCGCGAGACAAACCCGACGAAGCGCTAGACTTACCGAAGCATCTGTGGAGCCTGAATCTCGATCGCAGGTTGAAATCTCACGACGCGGTACCGGGCGTCGTCGTCGCGGGAGCCTTGGGAGCGGCGCGACAAACGGGGCCCCGAAAGGCTCTACAGATCACGTGAATCCCGAGCCAGAAAATGAGCCAGAAAATGAGCCAGAAAATGAGTCAGAAGATGAATCAGAAGATGAACCAGAAGATCTTGGTATGCTATTTCCGGACTTCATGTGCTAGCTTTTAACTGAGTATTTTGTAGACTTGGCCTCGACATATGAGCCCGTCGTTTCCCAGGATGACGCAGGATCTGAAACAGACGATGTTCACGACTCATTGGAGGTGGACGCGTCTAGAATTCAAGATATGCTCGACTTTGATATACCCAAGTTAACACGCTGGTCCGGCAACATGCACGACGTCCTATCGTCTATAGACAACACGCAGCCAAGCGTGGAAGATCGCTCAAGGTTAAGGAACACCAGAAAAGCATACAATCACGCTCGCCTTCCTTTTGCCGATACCAGCGCCTTTCTCATAAAGCCCATCAACTTCTCCGGTGACCATGGCCCAGAAGTTCGAACCAAGATACAAGTAGCAATCTGCTTGGGAAACATTATATCACTTCTTGCCTCCATTGTAGATGTCACAATTGGCAGAAAGGGATCGCTCCCGATTCTTGAACAGCTGGATGACTCTTTCCCAGCCTCGTTCAATCCATATTCTCCGGAGAATGACGACATAGAGCGACTTCTAGACCTAGCATTCCGTATTCGATGTCGTCACGTACTTGAACTACTAACTGCTAATTCTTCTGTTGACCCGTACGAATTGGCTATCAGTATGTTCTTTAGCCAGTCCTCACATGCTCCTGACGGCTCCCAGGTGGTTACCAGCCAAGACCAATACAAACCATTAGCTGGGATGAATATTAACGAAAACTCCCACCTCTATGAAAGCTATCAAACCCGCATCCAGGAGATCATCTCTATTCTCTCTTCCGACGACAGATCCGAAGTAGCATTGCGTCTGGATCAAGATTGCCCCAAGGAAAAGCTCTTCGATGACCTCAGATCATGGGGCCTAGATATGTATAAACAACTTAATAATATGTCGACAGGTCAAGGAAACGTGGAAGCTGCCAAACCAACAGGGGGGGAAGATGTGCATGGATTAGGAAGACGTGGAGAATCAGAGTCTCTTTTCGTCGACGACAATGAAGAGACTAGAGGGGACTCTGACTCTGACTCTGACTCTGAACCAGACACAGACGTTGCAGGATATGATAAATTGCCAACCGAGGAATCCAAGTACGTTCGCAATCGCGTTTCTAGTCCATTCCGAGGTTATACTAACACCCAGCAGTCAGAATTTCATCAATAGTTCCGCCATCCTGGCCGCTGTGAGGCGGAGCGAGAATCAGCATGTAGCAAGTTCTATATCGGTACCGCCTTCCAACCAACAAGCTATAGGAGATAACGGGCAGATATCAAATATTAGAGACGCAATCCGTGGATTAAGTCCTAGCCAGGTAATTGGTCGTACGAGGAAACGCCCGGCTCATAGTGAAGATGATGCTAGCGGAGGCGATGATGACTTTGAAGTAAATACGCAACTTTATAACGAACCCAGGCGGTCTCGTAACGAAGATGCAATTGTTCAAAGACCACCTTCTAAACGCCCGCGAATCCTGGAACAACCTCAGATTGTGCGCCGCCAGCAAGTTACTAAGGAACGGCCCCGGTCGCGGAGCGACATATATGAAGACCTTGATTTACAGGAACGAGATATTGTCAGGTTAACTCAGGAGGCCCGAGATGCTCGACGTGCGACCTATATGCGTAGGGCCAAGCCCCGGCAAGCTCGCGTACCGTGGTCCTCCTCTGACACCTCCAAACTCTTGGGCTTAATCGCCAACCAATCCATAAATTGTTCATGGAGTACCATTGCGAGAGTTGGCGATTTCGAAACCCCACGAAACCAGCAACAAGTACGTGATAAGGCTCGTGGTCTAAAAGTTTTGTACTTGGAAAGTGACCGGGTTCTGCCACTAGGTTTCGATCAAGTTCTTCTAGGCCAGAAAGAAAAGGCTGCAGTCATCAAGTGTGGCAAGAACCCTGATCGACAAGAAGACGACCTAGATGAAGATGGCGAAATTACCAATAATATATGGACTGGTTGAGACGCTACATTTTATTTTTATCTTATTTTTAGAGGTGTGTCGAGTATATTCGGTCTGTGTTAGAGGTTAGAGAGTGTGAGGGTTATTAATTGTTTTCTTCGTTATTCTATGCGTTGCAGTCATCAAAATGGCGTTTCAGCAGATAGATACCCTGTTAGACTTAGATCTGGCCTGTAATAAGGAATGAACCTTTTAATGCTTCTTGATAACCATACCCCTAGTCGCTTGTTAGTCGTGCTTCACCGTCCGTCTCATGCTGTCATGGATAGTGACGATCCAAGGAGGATTCATAGGCTTGGGAATATAGTATTTTCCAAACTTGGCAATGTTGCTACTGCAATTCGGTCGCGTTATTCATAAACAGGTTTCATAATTCTCTACACTACTCTAGACAACAATTGCCGGTCGTTTATTGTTTATATTTATACAACTACGCTAGAACAGGCGGAGTTAAGCAGGATGTCCAAACTAGGCATAGTAGGTTACATGTAGGTAGGCTGTAGCAAAATAAGCAGACCTCAATCTCGCATTCTGGGTAGTATCGGGTTCGAGAATCTAGAGTTGATCCATGACGTATCAGCATGAGACAGCAGAGTTCCAGAGTACCAGAGTAGCAGATCTCACATGACAAAATTTAATAGCCGCTGTAGCAGGAGCCAATAAGGTTGTGTTTAATTTAGCTAAGGCTCGATTATGTGGAGTGCTTTAGCAGGTTGGGCAGCTATCAAAAGTTTTTTATTTCTTTCTCTCGTGGTTTGTTCGAGCTGGCGGTTCAATATGTACGGTATGTACGGACTGCAGGTAGGTTGATACGTACTTGCCCCCCGGTCTGAGTCACTCGACGCGCACAGGGTAGGTACTTGCCTTTGGTAGTACGGAGTAAGTTGGGAAAAGGGAGGCACAATAAATACATGTATGTGAGGTAGTGTAGAGTGTAGAGTGTGTGTTGAAAAGCAGCTGTATTAAATCAAACTTTCCTCGGAGGAAGGAGTATCCAATCCTATGGACTCCAATGGAAGGAACTCCCTCTATCATCGAGATAGATTAAATCTGCTACCCTTTGGCACTGTCTTGACTGCGCTTATTACATAGGTATGCAATTGCTGGTTCAAGGTGGTTCGATATATTTATTCATACTGACTTGCAAATAGTCCCAACAGTAGAGAGTACCTCGACCCTACACGTAATTGGATAGACACATACATATACCGGGAGGCATTCAACCTTGGATATCCGCCAAAATTTAAACCACAAGACGTATCCCGTATGTATACATGTATGTATGCATAGAAGTAGGTACTACTTGATAAGCCACTACAGTAGTCACATATATAGTACACACACGGTATGTTTTAGCTTGGAAAATTTTGAGCCAATAAACAGCTGTAAATCTCAAAGATTAGTTAGAATAGGTACAAAGTACAGTAGGAAAAGGCAAAATATCAAAGAAAAAAAAAACTTTTCAGTTTGTGAATTGGGAAGGAGGGGTGCGCAAGCAGGAGGAAGGGCCTGAGGAGGGGCAATGCCCCCACAATCAGAAATCTACCTTAGCCACCGTCCGAAATAATTTATAAACCCCTACACACCCTCGCCAACACTTCTCCGAGTTTCCTTTTGATCCTCGTCTCGCACACCGTTAATCAGAAGCATTAACACCTGCTGAACGTGAGAACTCCTCCTTTCCCCTCCTCCTTCCATCAACAACTTCATCTATCTATCTACCACTACAAGACTGCTCATACGACCAGTAAACTAACCATCATCTACGCAGTTTTCGTGTCTCCCTTCATCACACAAATAGAATCAGCAAGCTTCTACCGCCAAAATGGGGTATGTAGAAAACTCTATCGCGCTCTTCACGAAGCGCCTCATTGCTAACAAACCTACAGTAAGGAAGACAAGACTCACATCAACGTCGTCGTCATTGGCCGTAAGTTCTCTGATTAATTTCTACACACACAATGGCAGATTCCTAACTGGTCATCTCAGACGTCGACAGTGGCAAGTCCACTACTACCGGCCACTTGATCTACCAGTGCGGTGGTATCGACAAGCGAACCATCGAGAAGTTCGAGAAGGTTAGTAATAATTCAATGTTTACATTTATCGCGTCGTGAACTATGCTTGAATCGACAAGAGTTCTTAGGACTTGAAGTTCTTGCTGTTTCGCTTCAACCGCCTGCCCCTCCTTTGTCACGACTCAACCCCCACCGAGGGGCACAAAATTTTCCTACCCCGCTCTGATGTTCTGCACAACATTTTGGTGCACGGAGCAACCAGCCCTAGACATGCCAAGCGATCGTACTAGGTATCAAAAAAGCATTTACTGACCCACTCAATAGGAAGCCGCTGAGCTCGGCAAGGGTTCCTTCAAGTATGCCTGGGTTCTTGACAAGCTAAAGGCCGAGCGTGAGCGTGGTATCACTATCGACATTGCCCTCTGGAAGTTCGAGACTCCCAAGTACTATGTCACCGTCATTGGTATGTCCTCTCTCCTACTCTAGACCTATTGAGCTTTGGCTAGATGCTAATATTGTCTCTGCTTAGACGCCCCCGGTCATCGTGATTTCATCAAGAACATGATTACTGGTACCTCGCAGGCCGACTGCGCTATCCTCATCATTGCCGCTGGTACTGGTGAGTTCGAGGCTGGTATCTCCAAGGATGGCCAGACCCGTGAGCACGCTCTGCTCGCCTACACCCTGGGTGTCAAGCAGCTCATCGTTGCCATCAACAAGATGGACACTGCCAAGTGGGCTGAGGACCGATTCAACGAAATCATCAAGGAGACTTCCAACTTCATCAAGAAGGTCGGCTACAACCCCAAGACTGTTGCCTTCGTCCCCATCTCCGGTTTCCACGGTGACAACATGTTGGCCCCTACTACCAACGCTCCTTGGTACAAGGGCTGGGAGAAGGAAACCAAGGGTGGCAAGGTCACCGGCAAGACTCTTCTTGAGGCCATTGACGCCATTGAGCCCCCCAAGCGTCCCACAGACAAGCCCCTCCGTCTCCCTCTCCAGGATGTCTACAAGATCGGTGGTATTGGAACTGTGCCCGTCGGCCGTATCGAGACTGGTATCATCAAGCCCGGTATGGTCGTCACCTTCGCTCCCGCTGGTGTTACCACTGAAGTCAAGTCCGTCGAGATGCACCACGAGCAGCTTACCGAGGGTGTCCCCGGTGACAACGTTGGCTTCAACGTGAAGAACGTCTCCGTCAAGGAAATCCGACGAGGAAACGTCGCCGGTGACTCCAAGAACGACCCCCCTGCTGGCTGTGATGACTTCACTGCCCAGGTTATCGTCCTCAACCACCCCGGTCAGGTTGGTGCTGGTTACGCCCCTGTTCTTGACTGCCACACTGCCCACATTGCCTGCAAGTTCGCCGAGCTTCTGGAGAAGATTGACCGACGAACGGGTAAATCCGTTGAGAACAACCCCAAGTTCATCAAGTCTGGTGACGCCGCCATCGTCAAGATGGTTCCCTCCAAGCCTATGTGCGTTGAGGCTTTCACTGACTACCCTCCTCTCGGTCGTTTCGCCGTCCGTGACATGCGACAGACCGTCGCTGTCGGTGTCATCAAGGCCGTCAACAAGAGCTCCAAGAGCGGTAAGGTCACCAAGTCCGCCGCCAAGGCTACTGGCAAGAAATAAGCTCGCCAATCACGACTGGACTGCAGCCGCGGGGATGTAATGTGTCTTCGGCTGGTTAGCGGCCATGGGCCCTTAACGACACGACTATACCTCTACGAATTTCCTTTGCTTTTGACACGATCTGTTCTCTCGGACATTTGATACCGAGCGCAGTATGAGAGGAAGGGTTATGGGCATTTCCGCGACAAAACTTTCTCATCATGTGCTTGTAGTAAAATAGAGTCATAGACCGTGACCCCTCTTATTTATGCTGTGATTGTGATGTGTTCCCTAAAGTGACTATAAAATTCTGCTGTACTATTTGTATCTCGCTCCGTGCCTCTCAAATTAACATTTGATTTCTCTATTGTCAATCATGGTTTCATGCTGGAAGCTTCCCTATCCCTTCCGTAATACGACTGATCCCTTAGAGGCCTACTAAGCTAGTATAATTGTTTGATAAATATCTGGTATACTGGATCACCGAGTCAATGTTATCATTGTAAATACTTTTTGACTAGTCTTCGTATTTGACGTGATATTCAGAAAACGTAACATTTTGAGGTTACCTGTTTACGAAACTGACGTGTCAGCTATGCTCGCTATGAAGATTGCAATGGCTATCTATACTTGAGTAAGAGAGAGAGAGGTTTCGCGTGTGGCTTTGGCTGCTCTACGAAATAGTAGGAAGCATGAAACCTTTAGAAATGCACATTATATTACACACGATAGTTTGTAGCTAGGTGATCGAGCCCGTATTTACATGCTATGTAATCCTGACCACAGCTCATCAGTGCTGGCGAGTTTTTGGCAGGCTGCTAAGAAGCGATCGTGATATGTACGCATGTCCGTCTTAGAGAGACCAGCGCTAGTTTCGGGTTCCAAGGTAACTTCCGCTCTCCTCTCGCTCTCCGGCCCTGCCTCTATATATGTATATGATAATTTGAATCCTTCATATGGCATTGAGATTGAGCGATGAATCTCTAGGCTTGCTAGCGTATACTCGGTATCGAGGTTTCGCGGCGTTCCGGATTCGGTGTCGCCGGAAAAAGGCTGCATGGTTGGATACCAGCGGACGAAGAACGACTGCTTTGGCGGCGTCTTGAGCTCACCACGCTCTAGGTCGAATTGCGATGCTCTGAGAAACTTATTCAACGGCTCCCAGGAAGCCATCTCGGAAAGTTCGTCTTCGGGCACAGCGTACTGGGCCTGCGTGAAGCGTAGGTCGACGAGGGACGCGGGGAGCATGACGTCCGTTACTTGTGTTTGCTTGATAGCGCGGAAGCTCTCGATGCCCTTTATTTCGTTGCCGGACACTGCGAGACGAAGCTCAAGGAGAGGCGCGGGAGGAGTGGCAACGCGAGGTGCGCGAGGTTTGCCTTTCCGCTTCTTTTTTATGTAGTCCTCGTTGCGAGTGGGCTCGAAATAGGGTGTCGGCCAGAATCGGATAAGCACTGAAGTTCTCGTCTTGACGGGCGATTGGGTCGCATTATTAAACTTGGTAAGCTGAATAGCATGCGGCGTGGCAGCGGCGAATACTCGGGGGTGGTTGGCAGTCAAGAGGTCAGGTAGACTAGGAGGTGAGCCAGAGGGGTTGTTCGCGTGTAGCAAAGAGCCGAATTGCGCTACAGTTGATACTTGGGACTCCTTCGTCCATTCCACGCTATCGTAAGGTGACAGTAACACATCCGATTCAGGTATATCGAGCTCATTGGAAGTGGGTAATTCGGGCTGTGGTACAATGGGGAGCCTAAGTCTGTCAAGTCTGTCAAGTTGTTCCATTACTTCCAGATCGCTGTCCTCGGATGCTACTGGCAGTATGTAACGAGCCCACACACCCGTTCTGTCATTCCATCCCAGTTTTTCTTTATTTGCAGTATTCATAACAAACCTACCCGTGGCCTGACTTTCCAAGTCCGCTGCCAAGAGCGTGGCTGTCGTTGCTGGTTGTGGTTTGAAAGCGGTAAGGAGTAGACGGAAGACTTCATCGCCTGGGGATCTTAGGCCTATAGGACCTTCCGAAGTATGTTCTTCGGATTCCATCCAAGTTACGATCAACTGCGTAAATATAGTTAGTACAGGTACGAGAAGCATTATTTGAAAGGCTGCTGGCTCACGTGTCTGGTAATCTGGTTTAGCCTGACGTATGTATTTGTGATACGTCCTACCTCTTCCAGTACCGCTTCGTCGAGGGGTTCCGATGAGATGAAGTCGGCCGGATAGTTTGCTTCGGCGATATGTTTGATCATCTTGGACAATCCTTGTACTATTGTTAAAGCCTTGGTTTTTGTCGCCACGATGCGTATAGTCTTTCTATTCCGAAACGCCTCGATCTTCTCTCCAGGGTCTAGCGATATGTGGTCCATAAATGCCACCCATCGTCGAGTACCACCTATTGAGAGGTTAGCGAGTCTTGTTCTCGAGAGGGAAGTATAGGCGACGGACATACGCATGAGTAGAAGAAACGTAGCATTTCGAATTTTGATGTTTATTTCGCCAAGCCCGGCATCGAGCTCTGCAATCGAAAGACCCCAACATTCACGCATGATTCGTAGTGCGAGTTCCTCTTTTAGAGTGGTCGACTCCGTTGCGTATCCATGCAGGCTAATATTGCCACCTTCTACGGGGTCTGAATGGGGGTTTAATGGCACCCATGGGCTGATCTCTCTGATCCAACTATACCTCTTCAACTTAATCGACGTTGTATTTGCCAAGTCGTCGAATTTGGGTGAACGGCCATCCTGCTTGTGATCCTTGAGATAATCATGAAGCTGGTTACTCAGAAAGCCGTCCATTAGCTCGGCTTGCAGCTTGCGGAAGTCCCTTTCCGGCATAGTATTATATGATTTTGGTTTTAGACTATGAATATTGTCATGGACTTCCTCTGCGGTTGGCGTTTCACGCTGGAGGTCGAGCAGAGCCTCGAGATTTGCAGGCCGGTTGTCAGGCTTATCATCGGATTCATCGGGGGCAGAAGGATTATATTTTTTTCGACGCAGTCCTTTGTCCTTCATAATAATCACAGAGGCAGGCTTGCCCAGCATATCGGTACCAAGAATCCCTGAAGCCTCCTCGAGGACGCGATCGCGGGAAAGGCGTTTCTTGTGGAGGGTCAAGGTCTTGGTCTTGATGCCATGTCTTGCGCCATGTTCACGCCTCCTACCTCGCGCTTCATTTTCATATTTCGAATCCACGTCCTCATCTTCGGGGGCAAAATCATTGTCGAGGGAACGGGAGGTTGAGTCTCCATAAAAGCGCCTCAGGGTTGGATGCTGGGTTCTGGTTATGCGACTGGAGGCTTGAAAAGGTTGAGCGCTCCGATGAAGAAGACGCAGTCGGCATCTTAGACAGATTGCGCCGCTAGTCACCCTCGTGGCTAGCATGAAGAAGGAGTAAAGAGATCTTCAATCTCTACTAGAGAATATAATATCGTGGATAATGAAAGATTGTAGATAATAAAATATTTCGCTTCAACTTTTTTTTTTTTAGTCTACTTCTTAATTGGGTAATTAGCTTTATGATGTACATATGTAGGCTTAGGTACGTATAGTTTATCGATTAATATCAAGTACAATACACTAGCGATAAGTACTAACTAGTACATATTTATCGATAAAGTTGAAGTGGGATCTCTCTACGCGTATGTAATCCGTACAGAAGTATTAAAACGCGTCTCAATCAATCTCCCCCGCCCAGCCCGCCGAGCTCATAACAGAGTATTCTCTTCACACCACTATCTACAGCCATGCCTCCACAAACCCAGACCCAAAGACGGCGGAAGACAGGTAATACCGATAATGCCAACGAAGCCCGACGGCGTCGCCAATCACGACACAAGCATGAATCGGACGATTCCGAATCCGAATCCGAAGATCAAGATGGCGATGTCGATATGGAGAAGACGGGTGACGGTACAGAAGACCAGCTAGTCAAGAAGCTGGTTCGATACGCCCTAGCATGTGAATATGCGAGGATACCTATTAAGCGAGACGGCATTCGAGACAAAGGTAAGTCAGGTCTACTCGAGATACTTGGCCTGTAATCATCCCTTTTCTAAAAAGCTACACACAGTTTTGGGAAGCAATACAAGATCGTTTAAGCGTGTGTTTGAGGGGGCCCAAGCTCAGCTTCAACAAGTTTTTGGCATGGAGATGGTGGAATTGCCCGTCAAGGAGAAGCGTACGCTAAAGGAGAAGCAGAGTAAGGATTGTTCAACGGCGTCGGCGTGCCTTGTTATATTTTACTAACCGGTCGACGTAGGGGCGAACGCTAGAAAAGCAGCCTCCCAAAGCACCGCATCCTCCAGACAATACATATTGGTCTCGACCCTGCCACCAGAATACAAATCGCAGTCCATCATCGCCCCGTCACGAATACCGAGCGCATCCGAAGAAGCTGCATACGTCGGGTTCTACACTATGGTCATCTCGTTGATCGTCCTCAACGGAGGAGAACTGAGCGACACAAAGCTACGACGATACTTGACTCGCCTGAATGCCAGCCAGAACTTGCCTATGGACAAGACCGACAACGTGCTACAGAAGATTGTGAGGCAGGGCTACGTCGATAAGGTAGTGGAGAAGAGCGACGGCGACGAGGATGCCGTGACTTGGTGTATCGGATCCCGGGGAAGAGTCGAGGTTCCGCCTGAAAGTATTGCTGCTGTGATCATAGAAGTCTGGGGCGAGCTTCCGGATGATTTCCACACGAAATTGCAGAGGAGCTTGGGAATACAAGAACCTCAACAAGGTTATAACGAAAGTACTATTCTCGAGGAATGAGAAATGAGAAATGAGGAATGAGGAATGGGGAATGGGGATTTAGAGGCGCTGTTAGTTTAGAGCCCAATGTACTTGACGATACCCCGTAATGAAACCACATTTTACATAAAATTATTCCTGATATGACCACTGTAGGCATCAGATCCCAAATGCAATGCCTTATACGTAGTAGTCTTTATCCTTTACTCGACCAGAATCTGATCAAGATCCTTATATTGCCCTGAACTGTCTGGTCCAGACGGCGCATCAGTCGTCGGGCGTTGTTCTACATTTACAAGTGCAGACTACAGTGTCCCGATCAACGACGCCGTAACTCTTCTTATTAATTATGAATTATGATTAATTATGTCCGCGTATGGGCTCTTCGCCTTCGCGAGGAGGAGGTGGACCACAGGGCTGTATCATCTTTCGTAGAAGCTGGGCTCGAACTTTGGCGGCGGGTTCGTTTTGCGCGAGCGAAATGTAGGCTAATTGGGAAGGGTGACCGACTAGGCTTGAGTACGTGTCGCGCGCGACGTTGGTTCGCCATTCCCACGATGTCGTGTCTGGGTGACCGGTGCCGATGTACTTGGCTTGAAGTCGCTCAAGCTCCTGCTGGGTGCGTAGTTTGTCCGCCTGTATGCTGTTAGCTTTTGGTATGTTGATGTTTGATCCAGTCAGTCTGACATACCATATCAGTAGGTTTTTAGGTTTTTAATCTAGGTATATTCAGCGCCGTATAATTTAGTCTGTTCTAGTAGACGAACTGGTGGGAAATGCTGAAATTATTTAAGTTGCCAGAAGTCGAAGAAGCGGCCAAGTTATTTTCTGAAGTGAAGTTGTTGCTCTTACGGATCCGTAGAGGTACCTGGATTTAGTCTGAGCGCCCCTTGCAGCTTTTAGTCCGTTTTCTGACTGTTTAGTTACAGTCAGGGAATTCCTCGGTATTCTCTGATAGGACAATGATTGATTGATTTGATTGATAAGACACAATAAAATTCCATCAAATATCGAATCCGCGTGGTGCAGTGGTTAGCATGGTGCTGTAAGTCCAAAAAAAAATTCCACGTCCTTCTTGCAAAATTGTTACTAACATCAACATAATAGCTTATACTTTCTCAGTATTGAGGAATGCATAGGTCGTGGGTTCAATCCCCACCGTGGATATAAAAACATTTTTTTGTTCTCTTTCGGGATAAACATTCGAAATAAATTTTTATTTTTATTTTTACCAATAGTTGGCCCTCCCGCAATCCTATTTCATAATACTGACTCCGTTATTCGAAATGGCCGAAAAAGATTTTTTATAATTAACAAATTCATAACGAAAGACAAGGACATTAATTCTTGTGGCTCGAATACAAACAACGCTTTACATTTTCTAACTTCGAGTTTAACAAAAGTAGTTTAATGATAAATACACAACTCGTTGCTGCTACCATTCGACTCGGGAATACCTCTTCTGTGAGTGGTTAGCTTCGTAAAGCTCGGTATTAATTGAATTGATGCAAAAATAAAGTTCAATGTTGCATAGAGCTTGGGCATAAGGCTGCAGGTTCTAGATACGTATCTTATCTAAATGTGGATAAGAATACCTAACCCAGGCCAGCTTGGGGTTACTTCGATGGCTCGTATCTTTAATGTTCCAATTAACACTTAGCACTACACTGCATCTAATACACCAAGTACAAATGCGCGTCGCATAGTGCCTACATGTATAACTTATAAGTAAATCATCACACCAAGCTTATACACCATACTCCGGATAGTAGATTTCCACACGCTCCATCAACAGCCTGCCGTCTCTATTGCGCATAAATTCTGGCTGCCGGTGGCCTTGTTTCGGAAATCACCAGTCACTTTCAGCGCGGTATATGAGACCCAAAATTGCTTAGCCTCTATGTAATAGTAGGATCCGCGGTTGCGCGCCTGAAAATATGTTAGAGCCGTGGGATGAAGTTATCGCACTTCAGAAGGAGCGTCAGTTTTGCGCCGATGATGTGCAGTCTATTAAAACGTCCTGTGCCAAGGACCATGGCAAGAGGCATCCTATCGAATGTCCAGATTGCTGGACCCGCCTCCTCAACCGCATAAGGGATCGATATCTCAACTCTGCTTCTAAGGAATGGTTTTCCGGCCGGCGACCGTTTCTACTCGAGCTTGATACCATGTTTTCTAAAGCTCACAATTTCGAGGTCGATCTTAAGACTATCGAGCAGCGCATAGTTGACGAGAAAAAAGAGTGGTACCGAGACAAAGTAAAAAATATAGGGCTTCAACATATTACAAAATCCCCAACCGAGGATCGAATTCTACAGCAAAAGATCAACGACCGGAGCATATCCGCAGATCAGCTTGCTTCGGAACTGAGGGCGTCCTTTAGCGACGGCGCCGTGAAGAACCACGAAGCATTCGACGAATTTATAGAACGGCTGAGACATGCCAACCTACCCCAGGCACGGGTCGAAGCCTACATTGATATATTTTTTCAACCCGCTCACGACCCTTCGGGTGCGGCAAAAGCCCAGAAATATATCGACATGGTTAGAAACGGGACGCCAATTGCGGATACTATCGGCGTCATGATCCGTGACCGGCATTTGGCTAAAGGTGACCAAGATCAGAAACAGGCACTTCATAAGCAGCTCGAAGAACTGAAGAGAGCTAAAGCAGCACACGAACTGGGCAAGGCGAAGAGCGATAAGGCCCGGCAGGATAAAACCAGAGAAACCGCACCCCCTGATGACTATTACCCCCTACCGCTGTGTTCGGTATGCTCGAAAACCCCTGATGCGCAAGACTTTATCATATGTCCCCTATGCCAAATTCTGGGCGATTTTTATAGACTTAGAGTCGAGCCTACTGTCTTTTGTTCTCGGAAGTGTGCAGACGAACGCTACGTAAGTTGTTCTCTCCGTATGATGATCGCGAATGAATTCTTACTGTTGATAGGAATCCCATGTTGAAGCAAGACATGAGTGTGCATCCGGCCAGAAATGTGTCCTCCTCCACGACGAAGATGTCGAGATGGATGACGGAAGAAGTGTTTTGATCTTCTGTCAGGAGTGTGTAGAAACGCTCGGCATCCCATCCGTCTTTTGCTCGGCTCGCTGCTTCAACGAGAACTTTCAGCATCATCGCGACGGTGTCCATATTCCCCGGCGGAAGAGTACTCAGCATGAGGTTAAAGATGAAAATAAGCTTGAATTCGACGCAGAAGATAAGACGAGGTATAGCGCCAGAAAAATCGAAGAACACCTAGTCACATTCGATAATGCTATAGCAGAATGGCAGCGGAAAACAAGCGCTACAGTGAAATAAAGGCTACGAAGGTATAGAAACTTCTCTTCTTGTACTTGTATGGATTAAAGATGAGACCGGCTGAAATGGATAAGGGTAATATAATGCATATAGAGGCCAACGACCCTGTATCTTACCAAGTTATATCCGGACCCGAGATATACCTACTTGAGCATGACTGGGGTGGGTAGATACCTATACCTATGTACCTATGTAGGTAATGTATGTAAATATACTGCGCTGGTATTCCAAAGTGACCTTGTAGATACGTAATAAATGCCCCGCAGTCAAAATTACATAAGCTTAATATCTCCGAGGGGTTATTTGATTTCAGTTGGAAGACCGAGACCTAAAGCTTTCCGTGCTCGGCGCCGATTGTATTTTTGGCCGAGCAAGTACCTAACATAAACTGACAAAAAAAAAGCTACTACAGCTACCGCCGCGACAATATCGCAATCGGCATTTTGCCATCAACTTGCACAGTTGAAAAGCTAACGTCTCCACAACACCTCATTAACACTTCCAACTTCTCCTTGTCAAGCTATATCAATCATATCTTACCAAACCAACCTGCGATCCGATATAGCGCATCGACTATGTCCGTGGTTTCAGCCCTGAAGGGTGACTTGCCGCAGCAAGCTCGGTCATTGGTGAGATCTATCTATTCTTGCTATATCCAACCATGTGCTGCACTATAGTGCGCCGGCAGTCATAACTCCCAAGCACACGCACTCTATACTCCGTAGTCATGAGCTGGGCTAACATATACCTCCTAGTACCGCCAACTGCTGCGTCAAGGCAGTCAGTTTCAGGCCTACAACTTCAGAGAGTATGCAAAGCGCCGAACGAGAGATGCATTCCGAGAGAACGCGGGCGTGCAGGATCCTAGAGAGATACAGACACTCATACAGAAGGGACTAAAGGAGTTGCAGATGATGAAAGTATGGCATATATATCTCTCGCAGCCCGTTGAAGGGTCATTTCGACGACAGGAGGCAGTGTAGCACGGCGTGATGAACGGCTTAGCTAACGAGTCTATTTTCTCTCACAGCGTCAAACGGTCATCAGCCAATTCTACCAGATAGATCGGTTAGTAGTGGAGGGCGGAATATCGGTACGTTTCCTTCCTAAGGGCCTTTATATTTGCGCAGTCATATACAGTCATATACAGTCGCTAACAACCTACGCCAATAGGGTAAGCAAAGCGGAAAGTCCGGAGATGTTTCGCGGCAGAAGGATACGGGGTGAGCATATCAGCATTATGCTGCAAACTACCTAGGTAACAGCGGCTAACATTTACAGATGGGATTAATACCACCTTGCGTGATGCTTTAGACTATTCGCAATAGGGTCACCTCGTTCTTCTCGTGCGTCTCGCATCTACTATACGAGACGTGCCAGCCCTGTACCATTACAACTTCATTGTACATCAAGCGCGCGGTCGAATTATAGGCTTGTGGTGTCCGCTTTCCTGGTTCGTAGGGATATCAAGTCTCATTAGAGCATGGAGAAAACGGAAACGGGATCAGGTTAGAATCTCGTATGCATGAAAAAAGTATGGCCTACGAATAAGGCAATGCGCAGTACGGCAAGGAGTATCCAGGTCATCTCACATCATGATATCGAATGCCAATTCTGCTCAAGTTGCTTCATATGAACTTGCGAGTGATAGTTCGCTAGTTTAGGATTTCTTGTCAAGCTAGCAGAGACCATTCAGAAGATATCCGCTGTATAGCGATCAATACACTCCTCATTTAAGGCAGAATATTCTGATTAGAGACTACCTCAGTATAAGAGATACACGTCCTCTATGAGTGATCTATGAGTAAATCAAGCATATATAATTTAAGGTGCGTGCAGGCCATACTAGAGAGTATTCCCTTTAAAAGTATAAGAAACTTAGGTAACTGGCTCTAACGATGAATGGAAGTTTATAATGGTTAGTTGGTACACACTACTAGGCATCAAGCCTTCCTTCGTTTATTATGGGCGTGGGAAGGGGGAAGAACGAATGCAGAAAATGGAACTATCATTTAACCTCGTAAGCATAACGTAGCAATATATTTTGAATGATTAATGGGTATTGTGTCGATGAAGGGTTTATTTATTCTAATAATAGAAGAAAGAGTAAGGTGCCTTTGATTAGAATTTGACGCTTTCTTTAAGCTTAAAAAGTCTAAAAGGTAAAACGCGGCAGGGGTGAATCAAACATGCCAATTTCACATATTGGAATCTAGTTTGACTTCATTCAGTATTCGGACAACTCCAAAACAAAATTTTTCTTCAAAAAAAAAACCATCTATCCTTTACAAGCTTGAAAGGAGGCAAAAGGTTAAGATGCGGTGAGTGCGGATCGAACGCACGACCTTCAGATATTAGAATGAAGTTGGACTTCAGTCTGACGCTCTCCCAACTGAGCTATCCCCGCTTGAAATTTTTTGCTGACGTCTTGGTTTATCAACCAAACCTGATTTGTCGTATTGGGATAGTTGGATCATAGTGCTCTGGCCGTCTTCCAATTTGTCAGTTAGGGTGCATTGGTACATGCACTAGTTAGTGGATTCATATATATTATGTAATAGTGCTTAGTCATAAAATAAGCATTTGTTGCATTTGTTGTCGCGTTCTTAGACTCTCACCTGCGCAACAGCGTAACCTAGCCATTTCTGTTCTCCGTCCCATGCAAGTCAACTCTCTTGGATAGGTCCCGATACTTGTTGCATCATCCGCTCCCGCCAGTGGCTCGCCAATCGCCCTTCGTACAGATACCAGACATACCAGACATAGACATTTACACTATTAGAATCTCCAATTTATTCGGCAAAGACCGAGAACCCCCCTCGAATCGCGCATAGCTTCTTAATGTCTTCAAATGGCTCCTAATGTACCAATATCCTGTACCCTTCGAGTCACCGTTATTCAGCGTAACTAATAATATATCGATTGTAGTTTCGTCCAAATACCCAAACGCGACGTGGAAATCGTAGCGGATATGTAGAACATGACGATTTTGAGGGTATGGTTTACTTCCTTATCCTCTATAGCATGTCGCACGTCGAATGATGACAGCAACTGACCTTGTTTTCAAAAGGCTTGCCCGTAAGACAATGGCGCCAAGAATGGGTCAAGATTGGACCGCCTCCGCCCGCAGAGATAACTCAGAAGAACGATATATGGGCAATCGAATTTCCACATGGCATGCCCAAAGATTCGCATTTGCTAGCCACACACTCTCTAGAGCTGTTAAAGGCAACTCGCTCAGGGAGGATGTACAAGCGACCAGCGCCCGCGGAAGAAGAGGAGGTTGACCCCGATGCTGCTCTAGCAGAAAAACCAGAGAAGAAGGAGGAGGACCCAAGCATCAAAGGCTATCAAGTCAAAGTTTGGAAGCAGGTCGCCCGTAATGCCGAGGGTGCCACCGTCTCCCACCTGGCCAAACGGAGGAAAGGAGTTATCACGCTATCATCTAGCCTTCCGGCTGGCCCGTCATCTAGTCCGGCCATAGTGAAAGTAACCGTTCGCCGCATCGACGCCGCAGGAAATCCTTACACGCAAGAAATCACAATAAATGATGGTCAGCCGGTGGATGGGGAAATTATATCGACTGTGGTGGTGCCAGCGCCTAATACTACCGCAAACGGTGAAGCATCTGCCGCCGCGACTCCGGTCCGAAGACGGCCGCCACCGCCCAAGAGAAAGCCTAAGGGACCTGGTCGAGGTCGGAAGAAGAAGCTGCCTTTGCCAACAAATACACGTCCCGAGGCGACCAATACGGGCGCGGATACTATTACGGATGGTACTAAACTCAATCTTCCAGAATCTGATGTAAGTTAGCTTCGGTCGGTCGTATCACCGTGTACTAATCGTTGTTAGAATATCAAACAAGATGACCAATCCGAAACTAAAAACCAGGACAGCGAAATGGCCGACGACGATGACGGAGACGATGGAGAAGATGATGGAGAAGATGGCGAGGACGGCGACGATGGCGACGAGGAGGATAGCGAAATGCCTGATGGCGAGAGCGGAGCAGGTTTCAGAGCTGAAAGCGAAACCAAACCTGATAGCGTCGTTGAAGTTCCTCCAGCGATCACTCAGGCTGAGCCCTCCATCAACACGATACCATCGGAGGTCTCGCCTAGTATTGGGCCGTCACCTCCTAATTCTATCTTAAACCCAGTCCAGCCTCCTACACAGCACGTCCCATCGCAATTTGAAGGAAGCCCGCTCAAAAATGTTGTAGCTGCAACATCGCCAACAGACTTGTCGCCAAAATTCCCACCGATCGAAGAAATCGCAAGCACAATTGCTACAACCGATACCAGGCCATCGGAAATATCATTAGATCCCGTTCCAACGTTACCTGGTCCAATCGAACCAGTTCCCCAGGGAACAGAATCAGTTACAGCAAAGCTTCAAGTGGACGTAGAGATGACAGACGTTCCTCGCCAAGAACAGACGGAGACCCCAGTTCCGCCCGTAGTGGAAGGAGAAACGCGACAGTCGGATGTTTTAGCGGTTAATCCGCTACCAACCGTAGATTCTATTCGAGGCGAAGATGCTTCTACGCATCCTTCACCACCGCCTGCAGTTATGCCAGAGATTACGAATACCGAACAGCCAATCGAAGAGGTTGTTTCCGAGACAGTTGTGAGCGTGGTTACGAATCAAGAACCACTGGCTCCTGAACCAGCTCCTGAACCAGCTCCTGAACCGGCTCCGGCTCCGGCTCCGATACTTGCCGATAGCCTACCAGCTCCCGGGCCTATTGATACCAAAGCTGAAGGCGCTGCCGTAGAAGGAGGAGAGGAGAATGAACCCGAAAGTCCTGATCTATTTAGCGGTCTAGAGGCCGCCTTGAATCAGCAAGGCGGGCCAAAGGAGGCCACGCCCGCTCAGGAAACAGAGGCAGCTTGAATTCCTCCAGTATATTGATCTTGAATAACCCCGATGAGACGTATTATATCAATACGTTCCGTTTCCTGGTTATGCCTGCGAATAGTATAAAGTAGGCTTGTATGATTATCTAATGAAGAAATGGGTAAATATGAAGGGATATTTTTCATTTCATACTATTTCTGGTCTGGTTTATGTTGTTTATGTGTCGAGCTTTTTGTAATTTAAACCCACCAAGACTTGGGAATAGGAAATTCATCTTGAACTTGACAAATAACTACCAATTATACGTATATGTGTGTATATACTATGTATATATACTATATGTATATGTATGTATTCCGTAGCTAAGCTGATGTCAGGGGTTATCCTTCCCCCGCACCGATTCTGATCCGGAGGCTGACCCCGATCTGCCCATTCCTGTTTGGTGCCAAGCGCCCGGTACATAGATGCACACATCTACATATTTAACCAACAACCATCGATGCTCGTATTCAACTTTCACATGAGCTCCCGTTGTTTTCAGACGATTGCACGTCGAACATTGGATCATAAGTCAATGTATGACATAATTATCAATATAATGCTCTTATTTATTGCTAGCTGGATAATCATCCCCCTAAAATATGCTTGCTCACGTCTGCGAGCAGCGTACGCCTGAACGCCGTCGCATTGTAATGAATACCCTTTCTAAATCATCACCCGAGGTTCCAGTCGCCGAAACCATATATGCATGCATCCTAATTGGCCCGCCGTGAAATGTCTTCTTCCCGCTCCGACTTATATATATATATATAGTAAGTTTCTATCCCCAGACTCATACCGTGACCTCAGTCTGCTGCTCCCGCTCAAGACTCTTGAGCGCCGCGGTAAGCCGCTCCTCTTCGGCTTTCCGCTGCATTTCTTGTAGGTACTGCGCGTACCGCGATTTCTTGTTGTGGATGCCGCACTCGGACTTCTCTTGGCCCTTCCAGCGTCCTGCGCGCTCGTCCTCACCCGCGGACACGGGAGATGTCGAGTGCCAGTCGCCGACGGATTTGTACCCGCGATCTAAGAGCGGGTTATACGGCACGTTGTGCTCGGTGATGTACTGCTTGACCTGGGCGAAGGTCCAGTCGACGAGCGGGTTGATCTTGACGATGCCCGTCTCCTCGTCGACCTCCAGCACGCCGATCTTGTCACGCTCGCCGCCTTGCGAACGCCGGCGACCAGTCAGGACAGCAGCTACGTTGAGTTCCGCGTACGCGCGCTGTTGCGGCTCGACCTTGGCGATCCAGTCGTATAGTTCGGCAGCGGTTTCATATAGCTTCTCGCCATAGCGCTCCTCGAACTCGGCGGTGGTGTTGGCGTCGTGGGGTTTAAAAGTGTGGATCTTGATGTTGGGGTACCGATCCTTGACTCTTTGGACCAGGTCGTATGTTTCCTGGAAGTGGTACAGCGTGTCGAGGAAGATGAGGTCGACGGGCGACGAGCCAGGCGATTCCTTCTCGATTTTGGAGAGCATGTCTGTGGATACTAGGCCGGTGAGACCGAAGGCTGTTGATTGGTATAGGTTGGGAAATAAGATCTTGACGAAGCGGAGCCGGTCCATGGAGTTCATCTTTTCTAATTGCTGGTTGAGGTGTTTGACGTGTGGTGCGGTGAGCGTCACTTGGGGTAGCTCGCTCGTGGACTCTGCTGTCGACGACGATGCTGAGGCATAGCCTGATTCCAGATCGGTTGTGGAGGTTAGGTCTTTGGATGAGTGGCGCGGGGAGGCCCGCTCGACATAGGAAGACGACCCCATCTTGAATTATATTATTTTATGAAGATTTATTTTACCCCAGGGAGGTAGGTGTAAGTCAAGTGGGCAAAGACTTGAAAGACTTGGGATAACTGGCGGTTATGACGAGACGAGAATACGAATTATACCGCTACGAGACACTGAGAAGACGTTTTTGAGAGGGTTGAGGATGATGAGAGAGCAATGATGGAAGAAGAGTAGAGGACCGGAAGTATGATTAGAGGATATCACTATGGGGAAAAGCGCCAGAGGTGCTGTTCAAGTTATAAAAGGGGACAATGGAGAGAGAATCTATCCTGTAGACCGAGTCGGTACTTACATATCTACTTTTCTACTATAATTCCCGTAGTAACGTCTAGTCAAAACAGTTACTTAGGGTATTTGCGTATCATTTCTCCGTATTTACATGACTAATCCGGTTCTCGGGATGTTTTTACTTGTTGTTCGTGTGGGAAAAAGCTGTCGCATATGGAGCTGGGGGTATTGCGCGATCTGCTTAGATGAGATTTAACAGGCGGCAAGCCGGAGCCCCAAGGCTTCGAGGCGCCTTTAGAAATTTTAGACACAGATCACGACATCGGCGCTAGTGTAGTTGCGACAACATAACCGACCTATTAATTCTATTAATTGGCCGAATATTGGGTCCACCCCTTCTTCTCACGGGTAGGAAAAGCCGCGGGTGAGTTACCGATACTTCTGGTCCGGTTCGATTTGACTTCCATCTCTTTGTTGACTTGATGTCATGCTCGTGTAAGCCCACGTTAGAACTGCTGTACTCTTTACTTTGAACATTGAGATGCCATTGTTGATCTAAGCTCCGAGCTGTGCTTTTTCGACGTCAACGACTGGGGTTCAAACTGGATCCATCCATGTGGTTTTGGCGCCCTTGCTTTGTCTCTGCCGGGACGCTACGGAATGATGCCATCGGCTTGACATGGATACTTGCTTGGCTTTCGAAAACGGGTTGATATTCGGCATGATTAGTTAGAATCCGGTGGGTTAACGTTGGACAGAGTTTATTGCGTGCTCTCTGTCACGAGTCACTGACATTGACGCGGCCATGGTAGGTTTATATATTCGTAAGTTGTGAGGTTTATATGTTGAGCACGCAATCACGGGCCAGACGGTCCAAATTTTGCCTTCTTCCTCAATACATAATATATATACCTTATATATAGTTGTCTATGTCGTGGACTTCCTCTTCCTATTCTCTACACCCCTTACGTGGTGCTCGGTTATATTAACATGATACCCAACAGCTGTATAATGTGACAGAGTTACGATCAGTGCAGATCTATGCAGAGAAGAGTGCTGACAGAGTACTATCGATCCCTTGAGGCGTAGCAGATGATATCCACCTTTTGGAGGTTTGTTAGAAATCAGATCGATATGCTTGTCATCAGCATACATAAGATCTACATACACAATCACACAGGAGTCTTCCAACTGATCCGGTCATTTCAATCTTGCCGCTCCTAACGCCTTACAAAGCAAGCGCTCAAACAAGGGAATGTTGCCATCGTTAGCGGATATGGCGAATTGGCAGCGGTTGTCGGAAGGTTGAAAGAAATTACATATGAAGCTACGAGAAAAAAAAAACAAAGTTGAGTAAGTCGGGTCTCGGGATGATGTTGTGATGTTGCAATGGTTAAAGAGCCGCTTGAACGGGTCATCGGGGCCGATAGCCGTACCAACAATTGCTGCTTTTCTCCTAACGTGCCGGGGATCATTTGCATTTACGGACTAGGCAGGTACTTATTTAGTGTACCTGCTATGTTTAGCTGCACACATATCTATGTAAATGTAGGCGATGAGAGGCGAAATTGCATCTAGACCCTGAAGGATCTGGGGAATAGGTAAGGGGTATTTACATGGTATGGCTGGATTCATATATTAATATACCGCACGCACGATTCCCTCCATGTTTGTTTGTTCCTATATCTAATTCTTTTGGAAAAGATTTATTGAAGCGCTTCACAAGTTGCTCTAAGACAACTTGGGTATAAATAATCTGGGGTAGCGTGTGCACAGACTTACCTACTTACATAAAATAGCATCATCGTATTTACTTTACTATGTACTTTACGGCAATTCTCCGGGTACCTGACTCAGCGCTTGCGAAGTGACAGTTTAAAAAACATGTACTACACGTGTATGTGTACTTCGTACCTCCCGGAGCGCGCCGAGGTATATACTTTCACCTTTCTTCACCTTAACTGACCAATCATATACTTCATATAGACCCAGCCATCAGGAACAGGTCAAGTACACGCGCTTTACACTAAAGCTAAAGCCCAGGTGAGGAAAAAATACCCCGCGCAATTTGTGAACTTCATTGTGAACTTTATTCCTTGCGAAATATAGAGCCTCAACGTTGGGTATCGTTTCCCTGCTCGCCTAAGTATTACTTCCATTACTCCTAAAACTTCCTCCTATGGTATCTCGATCATAGAGAGAACTTGATACCCAATCTCTCAAGCGCAAGTTCATTCCCTATACCTACAATAAAGTGCACCATCTATTAGTTTTCCTATATTCCCCCCCTCTATAAATCCCATCATGGCTGCCGACGATAGCCCCACGAAGCAGAACTCGGGTCGGCCGCAGTTATCTTCCATGAGGACTAGTTCATATCTCAAAGAGCATCAGCAATACCGTCCTCCTAAGCATCTGGATAGTAATTTCGGCATAGACACCGTCGTCGAAGATTTGCAAAGCCATAGAATTTCTCCTCCCAAATCATTCAGCCCCTTTAATGGTGTACCCTCCAAGGATGAACCGCCGCGTATTGTTGAAGGCGCTAGCCACGACTTCACCCATCCAAACTGTGCTCCGCCCAAAGGCACCAAAATAGATCGACTCGTCGCTACATTGATCTACAAGTCTACGTCCTCACGTACAGCGGTTCCTTCTCCGAGACTTGCCTCGTCCAGCTCCGACATTCCCGCAAACCTCGCACCAACTACCAACATTGAGGCATTTCCTCTGGAACCTCCGGACGCTACCGAACCCGAGCCTCTCGATCATCTTTATGGCTCATACATATCCCCAATATGTATCACATCTTTTCTCCATTTGATGTCCACCTTCCCCCTACCTCAGGGTGTTAGCGAGGCTACGTCGTCTCATCGTTGTCTTGATGATCGGGAGCATCCCCTCGTCGTCGAGTTGACTTTATCCCCGGCTCCATGCCCCAACTATCTCTCCTTAGCAGACCTGCGGAGGCATGAGCTTATCTACCGCTTCGAGAGGGAATGGAATGTTGATGTCGTATTGCAATATGACACAATTTGGCGACGATATCCGCGTCTTGTCGTTTTCGACATGGACAGTACTTTAATCACGCAGGAGGTTATTGATCTACTCGCCGCCGCCATTACGGATCCTCCAGATCTGGCCGATAAAGTTGCCGACATCACAAGCCGGGCCATGAATGGAGAGCTGGAATTTGATGCTGCGTTCCGAGAACGGGTTGCTCTGCTCAAGGGGCTTCCGGCCACGATATTCGAGCAGTTGCGTCCAGTATTAGACGTTACCAAGGGAGTCCCCAAATTGCTGAGAGCATTGAAGAGATTAGGCGTCAAGACTGCTGTGCTGTCTGGCGGCTTCATCCAGTTAACCAGTTGGCTGGCTAACGAGCTTGGAATTGACTATGCATATGCGAATGAGGTTGTAATCGACGACTCTGGGCGTCTGACTGGTGAAGTCCAGGGACGCATCGTAGGTAAAGAACGGAAACAGGAACTCCTCATCGAGATTGCTAAGAAGGAAGGAGTTGCACTTGAACAAGTAGTAGCAGTTGGCGATGGTGCTAACGACTTGTTGATGCTTGACACTGCTGGCTTGGGTGTGGCATGGAACGCAAAGCCGAGGGTTCAGCTGGAGGCCAATGCTCGTCTCAACAGCGAGAGCTTGGCCGAATTGCTATACATATTTGGACTTACGAGCCAAGAGGTGGAGTTGCTAACCGCGTAAGCCTATAAGATAGGTACGTCTACTATATAACTACTCTTCTACTTCGTATACATATATAGATTTGGCCTGGCCTGGCCTGATGCTACCTAAAATGCCTGGAAAATCGGAAAGAGGGCCAGGGGATCATCCCATTTCAACGACTTCATCACGGTGGGAGAGATGACCAGAAAATTATCAGCACGGATATCTAACGGCCTTTGAACGAGACTAAGTTTATCGTTTGTAGGAGTGATGTAGGTTTACTATTATCACATTCGTTGATTCCTCAGTCTAGTCGTTAGAGCATGCCGTATGTAAATGACCTAGACCAAGCTGGTAGTTACACATAACAAAACATATATATCGAATTCAACTAACAGGTAGTTATACGTAAACAAATAGAATTGTGGAGTTAGCTTTTCAGCTCAACAGACGGATTAGTGACTTTGGTAATAAATAATAATAGCCTTCCTAATGCTTGACCTAGGTTATGTACAGTCAATCTAGAAATGACACATCCTCTTATAGTTCTAATAATCGAAGAAGCGATCCAACGTCTTCCCGAAGAACATATCTAGTAGCCCTCCTTACCCCATTTGTTGTACTTTTCGTGGAGGCGCTGCATTCGCTCAGTTAGCATGAATTGCCCAAAGTGTTATAAGGATAGGCATGGCGATTTGTGCATACCTTTGGCAGGGTGACGTCGGGGACGATGACGACGTTGACGGCGCTGGGGGCGTCCTTCGGTGCGGCAGAAGGGTCACCACCCGGGTGGTATCGGTACTTGCCCTCCGTTGCGCCGGTTTCCCAGGGCATGCCCTCCCTGGCTAGGCCGACGGGCGCCTCGGATGTGGATTTAGTAGGAGAGCGGCCTGAAGGAGCGTGTTAGATTTTCGATGCGCGGTAGACGGGGAGAGGGGAGGTAGAGAAGCGCGTACCAAAGTAGAGACCAGCACCGCCTAGAGCTAGAACCATCACACCTCCCAGAATCTGGTAACAGCAGAGTCAAGTCAGCACCTGTCTAGAGAAATGTAGGCATATATAGTCCGCTTCATCTTCAATGTAGTAGATATACACGATTCCGTATATATGTAGGTATGCATCCACTGCAAAGCCGCGGCGTTGGATCTCCGGGTATGACGCACCATGAGTTCGGGGTTGCGCTTCGTCTCCTCCTTGAGGGCCGGGTCGGCAGCGAAGCGGCGCGCGGTAGTAGAGAATGCCCGTTGGGAAAGGGCTCTTCGGGCGATGATAGAGGCCATGGCTAACGGTATTTTCGACACGATATCGCAGTGGTGGTTTTCGGGGGTTTGGAGTGTTGATTTTAGGGACGGGTTTGCGGATGAGAGAAGCTTCGGGGTGGTACGATGTAATAGTTCTTCAAAATTGACCAATGAGGAGAGGCTTTGATGATCTTGGGTTTTATACCTCACTTTTGAGGCACTAGGTAACTAATATGTTTTTTTGTGTGTATGGAATACATGTTACCCAGTTATGCATATAAGAGGTAGCATCTTGCGTCATGGAGATACCTAGGTAGGTATGTACATATGTGCCTAACCCATGGCTTTACAGCTTTAATAGCCTCGTGTGGCTTGAGAAGTATGTACCGTGGCTGCGGTGTACCTACCGATTTTAATCTTAGGCAAGGGCTATGTAGTAAGCATCAGCCCCGGCTCCCAGCTTCCCCCAAATCGTGTTAATTAGTGCATGATAAGTACATACTTCGGTGCATTATAATTTATAATTATAACTTGCATACGCTATGTATATACGCACATGCGCAATCTTCGCTAACTTTATGCATGACTACATACCTAAGGCTCCCCTTTAGAATTCGTCTTCCAAATCCAGTCCCGTACTACATCATCTATCTCGCGACAACTGCGAACTTTACGCGGCCCCCTCCAATTCGACCCGACCCGATTGTCCTTCCTTTTTTTTCCTTTCGGTTGCCTTCGCTACATCATCGTATTCTAGTCATCCAACACCTTCGCGACGCCTGCTGTGCAGATACAGCCGACCTCCGGAGAAAGGGATATTGACTTGACGCTCTCTTCATTTTCTTTTGATTTTTTTTCTTCTTCTTTTGGGCAAACGAACCATCATCTTCTTCGATCAAACGCTATTACCCAACTTCTTTTATTTCTCTCTTTTGGCGAGCCGACTGAATTAAGAATATTTGTTATTGTTTGTGGGGTATGATTTTGTAGACAACATATTCCAATTACTCCTAGTCATCGTTTCTACTTGACTGGGTCACGGACCTCTTGGAAGACTTGGACGATTTCGACCGTTTGCTTGGAAGTTATGTCATAAGGACTTGTCTCATGGAAGCCGAATACCGTGGAATACTGTTCAAGTTAAACGAATCGCCTTAAACATGGCTTCAAATCAACTATCCGCGCAACCGGCTTCGCCCTCGGAGGGCACGGACAGTTTCGACAGTTTCCCTAGCCCCCAGTTCCCCGCCGGCCCTCCGAGTATCATATCGTCTCGAATGACCGACATTGCGTCCGAAGATGGCGACGGAGTTGCCCGAGAGCAGACAAGGACGACTGCCGGTCAGAGAAGGAGTTTCCGCGCCTCCGACTCCCGCCCTGGTACTGCGAGAACTGGCATTTCTTCGTCGCGCGGCGCTTGGTCGCAAGCGACTCCGCTGAGGAAGGGTATGCAGAGAGGAAGTAGTATAAGTGGCAGCATCAAAAGTGGCCGCCCGATTAGCTCTACAAGTCGAACCCACGTACCTTTGGCTTCCCATGCCTTCTTTCATCCCATGAGTTCTCAGAAGCTCCAAGCTCAGAGAGGCGCGCAACGAACTAGTAGTGGCTTACAAAACCGGCTGAGCGTCGAATATGTGCAGGATGATAATGAGTCCCATATCGCACCTCAGGACATTACTACCTCAAGACCCGCACCCCTTCTAGTCCGCCATATGACAGACGATGGAGACGCGCAACTGCCTCCCTCTAGGGGTACAGAGATTACAGAGCCGTATGATCGTATTACCGCTACTACAAGTCCGACTCGCGGCCACCACCCTACAGGCAGTCTTAGCGAGAGTATGCGCCCTTTGCAGAAGAAGGCCGAGGAGAAGGGCCTTAATCTAGACCTCGGCCAGACAAAGACTTACAGAGATCACGAAGATCTACCTAGCCCTGTTAGATCACCACGATCTTTTCGATCGGGACTATTCTTACAGACGAAAGGCGAGTCTGCGGCTACTCCCGCAAATCGTAATACGCATGGCGCAGAGAAGTTGTCTTCTGGCGCATCATCTCCTCGTTTTACTCCTGCTACTGCGAGCATGCCGGTTACAAAAGCCAAGGCGGCCAAGGAGAAGGTGCAGGGCCATGGCTATAACCATGAGTATTTTGAGGGTAATACTGTATTCTGCATCGGAGGCCGTCTGCAAAATACGCGCCACCGACCTATCAACATTGGGACTGGCCTCCTTGTTGTCTTACCAGCTGTTCTCTTTTTCGCATTCTCTGCGTCCTACTTGTGGCATCATGTTTCACCTGCTGTGCCTATCATTTTTGCCTACTTGTTCTATATCTGTATCTCGTCTTTCCTTCGCGCATCAGGTTCAGATCCGGGGGTAAGTAGATACCTACAGTAAATGATTTCTCTCTATGATTACTAACGAGTGAACCTAGATCCTGCCCCGGAACATCCATCAATTCCCCCCGGCGGATGAACATGAGGACCCTCTGCGTTTGGCACCCCCGACTAACGACTGGACTCTGATTAAATCAGCCGAGTCGAGCACCGCAGCAATGGAAGTGCCGACGAAATACTGCAAAACTTGCAATATTTGGCGTCCTCCCCGGGCTCATCATTGTCGTTTGTGCGATAACTGTGTCGAGACCCAGGACCATCATTGTGTCTGGATCAACAACTGTGTTGGGAGACGCAACTACAGATATTTCTTCACCTTTATAGCTTCTGGCACTCTCCTGGCATTTTACTTGGTTGGCGCTTCGCTCGCTCAAGTACTAGTGTTTTCGAATGAGGAGAATGTGTCCTTTGGAGCAGCAGTCAGCCACTTCCGAGTTCCGTTCGCCATGGTTATCTATGGGTTTATAAGCCTCCTGTATCCCGCAGCTCTGATGGGCTATCACCTCTTCCTTATGGCTAGAGGGGAAACAACCAGAGAGTTCCTCAATTCGCAGAAGTTCTTGAAGAAAGAGCGGTATAGGGCATTCGCTCAGGGTAGCATATGGAAGAACTGGGTTGTGGTGTTGTGTCGCCCACGACCGCCGACTTACTACCGTTTCAAGCATCGATTCGAGGAAGGAGACCAACGATTTGGGATGCGCCGGAATCAACACGGGAGAAGTCCTTCTCAAGGCGGAGAGGATATGGAAATGCAAGCTGTGCGACCACCTTCTACGGGCTTTCAAGGGCCAACCGCGCTGCGCAACCTTACAGCCAGTACACAATGAAAAACCAAGCATATCCATCTCCTTCTACTTGGCTAGTGACCGGTAGTCTTACTGCTCGTTACTAGGCACATATTTTACGTAATGTCTTCTAGCACGAAATACCCCTTCAATCAACTTGCTTTTTTTTCTGTACTATTATGATTACTGGAATTAAGGGAAACGTGTGAAATTATTAAGTGCTCCTTCGTAAGGTCTCGGTAAAAGATAGGACCTAATATGTACGAGGTTAAAGGGTGATAGGGAGTTGGAACGGGATTGTCTGAATGATGTTATGAAAGAGAAAACATTTGGCTGTATTATGTTCATGTTGAAAACACGATTCTTTAAAGTGTTCTTTTAATACCAATTCTCTTTATTCATACCTTACCTCCTTATACATAGGTAAACATATGACATGGTTCGATGGGAGTTTGATATCACGTGATGACTAATACCTGTGATACAATGCCACTCTGCCCACTTTGCCCACTCTTAACTAGCCGTAACCTGATCAGGAAGTTGGACTTATACTAAACACGATTAGCTGATGGTCTCGTGAATAAATTTTGAAATGAATCTTTTTGCTGAGCTTGTTTTGTTGCATTCTATTTCTGTCAAATCATAGTTTTTAACCTATTGGTTCGTTGCTCATTCTTTGTGCCAATGTTAGAGCCATAGGTTTAGATTTGGTCGACTGCATCCTTTAAGATAGACTGATTGTTTAGATTTGACCTCTCCGTTGCGCCTCGCTTATATCCCCCGACAATGGGCCAACCGTCGTTCGAGGCATCCAATGCCGTTATATACGTTACCTATGGCGCCTTTCTGTATGTTTATACTCATAGACTGGAGATATTTGCAGCTGGCTAAACTAATCATGAAACCATAGGCTATTGGGAACAGGCTTGGCCTGGAAAATGAGAAATCAGTCCAAGGCTGATTTCCTCGCTGGAAATAGAACTCAAACTGGTTAGAATACAAATGGGAGCTGGATAAGCCGACGTTCTGTCCTATCTTACTGCTCTCATATCCCGTTTATCTCCTCCTATAGGATTCATACTGACATTCCTCATAGCCTTCCCTTTGGCGCTCAATTTCATTGCTGCTGGTAAGTAGGGAATTGTCATGGCGCTTAGGCGAATCGCCCCCTCCCCGTCTAGGGATCACGAGCGGTAGCACCTATGCAACGATCAACCAGAACAGCATACAAAGAGGACGCCCGACTGTCTTGACGTTTTAATATACTACTACTACTACGAGACATGAAGTAAGGCTTGTGTAATAGACAAGTAGGTTTATGCCATATCCAACAATTATCCTCCTTCTTTCACGAACCCCACCACCCGGGATCCGTGTTAGAGGGTAGGTAGATTGCGGCTCACTACGGGCGCCGAATTGAAGCAGCTTTCCTCGGATAGGATCCAACCCCTCAATTCCTGTTTCTGTCTATGACCAGGCGTTTGCGGGGAGATCCCCGGGAGTCTGCGGATATGAAGCTGAGATTGTACCGTAATACTCGATCAAGTTAATGCTTGCGTGGGAAACGTGCTGCCGCTCCGGTCCCCCTTATCCCCCCTTTAAATATGCTAAATATACTAACCCTCCTTACCATCTTCTCAGCCATGGGCTCGGGAATCCTATTCTCATACCCGCAGCTTGCTACTCTTGCAGGCCTCCAGGGTGTCCTAGTATACGCCATCTCGTCAGCCGTCCCGCTGCTGATCTTCGCGGCGCTCACGCCGATTATACGTAGGAAATGTCCGGAGGGATTTGTCCTGACGGAGTGGACGAGGCAGCGGTATGGCGTTGTGACGGCGCTTTACTTGGGCGCTTTGACGCTTCTTACATTGTTTCTGTATATGGTTGCGGAGCTGTCTGCTATCGGCCAGGTCATTGAGGCTTTAACTGGGCTGAATGGCCTCCCGGTTGTTATCGTTGAATGTGTCGTTACTACTGTTTATACATGTAAGCTACCCGTTCATTGCCAGGGACCGCTTGTTACTGGTATCGATGTACATACTGACAACTATACACTAGCTCTCGGAGGTTTCAAGATCTCTTTCCTCACGGACAACGTCCAGGGCGCCATGATCTGTGCTCTAATCGTCATAGCCACGATCACCATCGGTGTCAAAACAGATATCAAGCCGGAGTTAATCGCTGATTCTGGCCTGCTTAACTCGAGCCTCGTAGGCTGGCAGTTGATTTATATTCTACCCGTCGCCATCCTGACCAACGACTTCTTCCTAGCGAACTACTGGCTACGCGCCTTCGCCTCCAAGACCGACAAGGACCTCTGGATAGGTGTCTCGGTGGCCATGGTCGTTATCCTGATCGTCTTAACGCTAGTTGGGTGTACTGGTTTAATTGCCGTGTGGTCAGGCGCATTTGAGCCCGACGGCGACGGATCCGTGGCTTTCTTCCTGCTGCTGGAACAACTACCCAACTGGGTCGTAGGCATCGTCATCGTCATGTCGGTGTGTCTGAGTACTGCAGCATTCGACAGTTTACAGTCTGCCATGGTGTCTTCCGCTTCCAACGATATCTTCCGCAACCGTCTGAATATCTGGTGGATCCGAGGCGCGGTCGTGCTGGTTATATTCCCGGTGGTAGTACTTGCGCTAAAGGCGCCGAGTATTCTGCAAATCTACTTGATATCTGACCTCCTATCCGCCGCCACTATCCCGGTCCTCGTACTCGGACTATCGGAACGCTTCTACTGGTGGCGAGGTTTTGAGGTCTTAGTCGGCGGTCTTGGTGGAATCCTAACAGTCTTTATTTTCGGTACCATCTACTATGGCGACGCCAAGTTGGGCGGTGAGCTCATTCTTCTAGAGCAAGGGCTATACACCGGAGACTGGGGTGCGTTTGGCGCCTTCATCGCTGCGCCGGTTGGTGGTTTGCTCTGGGGATTCGGCGCGCTGGGAGTAAGACTGGGAGTCCAGTACGTGCTATCGAGGGTACGAGGCACCCGGTTCGATGCGCTTGACTATCCTACTATAGTGCTACAGGAGGATTCCGACGCCTTGGCTGGGTCGAGCGAAGACGCTACGACTACCAAGATCACTGGCAAATTTTTCTAGGTCGAGTTCTACTACGATACGAAATAGGACGAAGTGCCAATTTTGCGCGGTGTTCGATATAAGAAAGGGGGATTTAGAATCAAGAGCACGTAGGTAGACTATAGTTTTGGCGGATGGAGCCAACCTTTAATTTTCTCCGCAAGGGCTAGGTATAATTCCGATTACGCCCCTTTATACAGGGTTATTTTATGTCGGAATAAGGTTGGCATTTTAAATCATACCATTATATACTCGAACTCGCGAATAATGCGAGTCTAGAGTGACGTTAACTGCTTTGGAGTTCGATTTATACAGGTCTTATTTGTACAAGCCCATACTATACACATTTTTACTATTTCTCCCCTTTCCTTTTTACTATCCCGTCATTATCTACTTCCCCGCTTCGTCCACCATAATAGCATTAACGTTCTCTATCTCCGCCAAGTACTCCTCGTACGTCGTCTCAGGTAGTGTGCCCCAGATCTTCCAAGGTTCGGCCTCGAAGGTATTCTTATCCATATCGGCCTGCAGGACAAGGTGCTCCGTCATCTTGCGCACGCGCTCGCTGCCAGGGACTTTAACGCCGCCCTTGGTGTCGTCATACCGCGCGATGCGCTGGACGCTGGAAATGCTAACCACGATCTGCTTCAGCATCTTCATGTCACCGTTCGGTTGGGGCTGGTATCCGACGCGCCAGTCGGCGACGCGGGGGTACAGCCAGGTGTTGCTGTAGCGCACGAGCTGCCACTCGGCGCGAATGCCGCGCGGGCGGGCATCGATGGTGGCAGCCAGGGTTTGGAACAGCTCGGGTGTACAGATGCTGCGCAGGGTCTCCTTGTCGCCGATGGCCATGGCCTCAGACATCTGGATGTGTAAGGCCTTGGCCGTGGGGATGGCGGCCGCCCGGTGAAACTTGAAGAGCGGTCTGCTAACTAGGACGGTCGGCTGCGACATGACTTTCATGGATATTACGGCCCAGAGCGATCCGTAGCGGGCCTTGATATGTAGCCATAACATGTGGAAGAACTTCTTAGGCTGGCGCGGGTATCGCCAGAGAGGAGGGGCCACGAGGGTCTCTGTAGGCGCAGAGTGAATATTTATGTACATGTATAAATGTAATACGTATATATGATTGGTAGAACTAACGGGGTATTAACATTGTTATATTGGGCTCCATCTGCTGAACGTCGCTCGTCTTAATGGATTTCATCGACCTTGGTCTTGAAGGTCCCCTCCTCGCAGCATATGGACGCAGGGGGGTTGTGCTTATACTGCGATAAAGGCCGCATACAATTGGAGATGGCGCTCGTGAGCGTATGGAGGAGAGCAGCCAAGGCCGCGACTGGCGCAGGAGTTCGGCCATGACTTCGATGGTGTTCTGGAGGGGGGGTGGATGAGGTGGATAGAGGCGGGGGGGATTGAGTTGTTGATGAGGAGCTTTTCGATGGGCTCTCGACTCGCAAGTCAAAGTTTACCGTGACGACATTGGATTGTATAGAGCGGTGAGGTTAGAAATTATGAAGTCGTCGGTCCTCTTCCGGTTGCGCAACCGCTATAATGAATGAGTGATGAGAAATATCAAAAAAATTTAGGTGGGGCTGAATTCTAGAAGAGAAGCTCACAAGGCTAACCAATAATAACCAATAATTGACTGCCCGGGTATGCTAAGGTTTAGAGCGTGGGGCGGTACGATCTCCTTCCTATCAAAGCTAAAACACCCTATTAGATTTTGGTTCACAGGGGACTGCAGGGTATTATTGTTGCTCAGAGTTTAGGTAGTGTTACGTAGTAATATGACCTCACAGGCCACATTGCCCAATCTTTCCACCTTTTTACCTTTCTACCTTTCTTACTTACCATTACCACCTACTATATATAAATCCCATCTACCTACCACATACATAGGTACATACAACAAAACACACCTATATTTATTACTGTGTAGGTGCATCTCCCCCCACCAAAAAAAAGAGGAAAAAAAAAAAAAAAAAAAAAAAAGGCACCGAACGCATTTATTTATACGACTTTCGATATTTCCAAACGGCCTTTATCCCCGTTGTCTCGTCTCGTGCTTAAAAACCGCTGCCACTTACCCATCACATCACCACTTTCCTATGGCCCAAGTCGAATCGATTACGTGCAACTCGATAATATATAGGAAATCAAATTGGGGGGTTGGGCAGAGGTAGTTAGTTAATATATATATCTTAGACCATCTTAGCTATTATCTTAGCTATTTTAAAGCCGTCTGCGGGAAGGCCCCTTGAATGGCCAACCCAAGGCTTAGGAACCCCTCCTCCAGCACAAATGCTACCGATCCCACCGATTCCTCCGATATACCTCCCGCTCCAGTCGTAGCTGTTTCCCTTCTGCAGCCTCGCGTCGCCGTCGCTCTCGGCGTACCTAAGCGTTGGCATCATACTCTCTCCGCCTGTCGTCTACTCTCTATCGCCCCTCCTATACTCTGGGGCCTTCGCTACGCCTTGCGTTTCCTGCTTGCCGATCTGTTACGCCTGTCCGAGCAAGATCATGGCCATAATGTTAGTCTTTCCTCCTTGAGGTTGACCGAGACGGCATTGGCTGTTATATGGGTATGTTGCTTCTGCTTCTGCTAGCTACGGACTTGCTTGTCTTATGTTCCCTGTTACATCGTTTTTGTCGTACTGACCCTGTTCACTAGTGCTACGCCTCTGCATATCTTGCCTTCTTTTTTACCGACTGTCTCATGTCACGCTGGCTTATCAACTACACGCCTCAAGCGACAGTTGTGCGCCTCTTCACCATTAGCTGCGCCTTCGCCTATCTGACGTCGTGGATCGTATACCTAGTTGGTGGTTCTCAAGACCCTGGTCTGCTGCTGCCAGCCTGGATCGGGATAGCCACCATCTTAACCCTCTGCTACCACTTCACCCAGCGCAAGATTAAGATACGGAAAGAAACATTTGCCAGTATCAGCGTCTTTTCTATAGCAAGCTTTATTAGCATGGTTGTCTTGCTATTACATTCCCATTCGACCAGAGCTGGATATCAGAACGTCCCGATAGTTGCTATAACTAAGCGAGCGTGTCAAATCGGAGCATACATAATTTTCCGCATTGTAGGTCTCACTGGGGACTTGGACGGTTTATGATATTGGACATCAACTTTCTATTGTTTCGTTGACGTTGTTGTAGCTTAGTGCCGTCGAGAGACGTTAACTAAGCTACACTTCTATCGGCCTATCAGGACGCATAAACGTGTCTAGCCTAGTTGCCGACTTTAGCAATAAGATGCTCCAAGAAGCTTGATATTTTTACTTTAAAAGAAGCAATTTCGAGTACGATAAAGTGTACATCAGGTTAAATGACATATATATATATATCGACCTTGGGCGGATTAACTGTAGTTCTTCTTTAGGCTTTGTTTTGTTCTTCAATCACATGCGCCTAATGAAGTTGTCTGCACTGTTCGAGATTATCTAACGCAAGGGTCCTACGAGAATAGGATGTTTTGATTTCGAAAAGTTCTAAGAATGCCCACCGAGTTTGGTCTACTCTGATAATTCTCGAGAGGTTACCATAACTGCTGCTCTGTATTATTAGTGCAATCACCATACATATTATATTGTAAGAGAAACTGGTGTATTGATCTATAGTCTACCCCTTTTCTGGAACTAGGGAAGGCATTTGATAATGAATAATACTAGGATATCAAAGGGAATGGCTAGGAGGGTGGAGCGGGCTAAGATAAAAATTAACTAACGTCGGAAATCGTTCTGTTCACACTATTTGCGTATATGCGGTCGAGTATAATCGGTTCACCTCTATCTTCATTAATACTAAGTACAATCTCAACGAGCCGTTATATGGGTGTATGTGATCATATATGTTTATATCCGAGGAATATATATATACAAGTATAGGTACTAATATCTTCGGTAGGATAGGACGCGTAAAAGGAGAAAGAAAAAAGGGCAGTATTATCCATAACATCGTTGGCCGTCTCGTCTTGGTGTGTTACGTCTATACATGCTTTACGGCCTCTACTAAGTGCTTTATCAAGCTTCCAGGCGGAGAGGGGTCCGAAACCGGTGACTGGTACCACAGCTGGCTCAGTATAATCTTGGCAGATATCAACGTCGGACACCGTCTAGGAGGGGCTGCTATTGAGATAGAGATTTGGGTAACATTTATCATCCTCGTCTGTCCCACGATCTATTAGGATATGGCAACAATCCGACCCCGAACCGATCATGACATTCCAGCATGTCTTCAAGTGCTTAATGTCGTCTATAAAGATAGCGGGTATCCCGTACAAGGAGTTGGCGATCCGGCACAATTCTTCAACAATCATGAGACTACCTGGGTTGCTGAAGTTGGTGGGACTGTTGTGGGACATATCGCCCTCGCAGAAGGTGTCGCAGGGGACGTCGCAGTGGACTTGTGGCGAAAGCAGCATCCTGAAGATATCCATGTTGCAGTTATAGGAAGGCTCTTTGTTCACCCTGATAATCGCAAGGGCGGCACAGCCAGCAAGCTTATTAGTACTGCTATAGAGGAAGCACGGGGGAGAGGACAGCGGCTGCTCTTGTTTGCCTTGATCAAAGATCAGGATGCTATTCGCTTGTATCGGAAGCTGGGCTGGCAGTATTTCGGCAACGCCGTGTATAAATGGGGGGAAGGTAATGAGATGGATGCAGAGTGCTTTGAAAGCCCAATATCGTGAAGCTCTAGGGTTGGATTCTATGGCTTGTTAGCATCCTGGTTGCTCAAGACTGGTATTATATTGTGTTGTAGGGAGTAAGGAGGTGCTTTCCGGGATGAACAGATCAAACTCTCGCTTCATTTTCTGGCCATGAGCATTTATTATTATTGTACTTGTCTATCGTAGATGTACTTTGTAAGCTGGTTCTCCTATGTAGTTCGTCTAAATACAATTTGGTACTATCTCTCACCCCATGTCCCAGTCTGTATATATTTCTTTCTTCAGAATTAGACCATATTATTGGAAATGCTGTGGGATTCTTGCTGTTGCTATCCTCAAGCAATGCTATTTCTTCTCCTCTTATACCTAGATATACCTCATATATGTACCATTGAAGCTCTAATAGCAACAGGTAGGGATATGTAGATGTATGTAGGTATTGAATCAATATTGTGCACGGACCATATAGGGCGGTGTAATAGATACACCTCGTGATCACAACACTTGCTACTTCGCTCTTGCTTGTTTGACTCTTGATTGTTCGGCTCCTGCCTCAATTATTGATAATAGAGAAGCACCGACCACCAAAGCACCGACCATCACAAGGTCGCGACTTACTCTTCACTCTTTGTAACCAACCCTAAGGTTTCTACAACTGCAGGAGCGCTCTCAATTCTTTTATTTATTTAAGCATCCCGGTTCCTTCAAAGTTGCCTCTCAATATACCTACTCTTCATCCTAATTTCTAACTTCTAACTTCTAACTTTCAACTTTCAACTTTCAACTTTCAACTTTCAACTTTCAACTTTCAACTTCCAACTCCCAACTCCCAACTCCCAACTTCTAACAATCCACAACCCTCCCACCCTCTCACCCTCTAAATACACCTATCATCTTCTACATTAACTCTTCATCTACTGCCCACCTCCCAGGGAAATACCCAGGGTGAACCCTTCAGCCGCCTGCAGTGCCTTCACCATACTGTCGCGTCGCGTCTATGATAAACTCCTATAAATCTTGGAGTTTATCTATAATAGTAAGTTAAATACAATCTATTCCTTTGAGCCACCATCACTGACTTCCACCAGCTCCCTCATTAATAATAACTCTTATCCCACTACACGAAACCTATTTCTATAATAATGGTCTACCCTCATCAATACATTTTACTCCATCAATGGCATATACCTTAGTACGCCTAATATATTCCCAACTATAGTAGGTCTCCTTCCCGACTTCTTTTTACTCCCGTCCTGTTACTTTTTCCCCCTTTTGACTAGTTCCCATTGTCGCTTCTAACATTAGATACTTCTTGCTCACCTATTTCTATTGCTTATTCCTGTCAAATATTGCTCATGCCAATAACACAATGGAAGTTTTTTTGCTAAATCTGCTAATATCCTTGTTCCAGACAGCATGTCTACGCCGCTGTACACCAATGCTGATTTTCAGCAATCATACCTACCTAAGTGGCTTCTAATATATTCACCTCCTCTAAAGCTATCTACACTGGTAAGTAGAGGAATCACCTCATAGATCGCCTATAGAATATTTATTGCTAACATAGAATTCCTAGGGCCCCTAGTATGGATTACCTTTCGATGGCAGTGTCAAATATCATGGCGCTAGCTGGCATATATACTTTGTAATTATGGCCACACACTCCTTGTGGTTCCAATGGAGGCTACAAGTAAGTTCTTTTTATAATATATTAGCGCATGATAATCCTGTTCTTATCTTCATACTTTGGCACCCGTGCCTTCCACCCCTATCTCGTATGTCCACATGGTTATTCATCAATTGGAATGATAATAGCACACGCATGTTCTAATATTATAACTGTATTATAACTGACTCTTACTCTTCTTTCAACGTCTAGGACCTAAACTACACGCCCTATATACCCTTGATTTCATGGCAGCAATGATGATCAAGCAGAAGTTCTACACCGTCGCAACTGGTTCGAGTTCTACGGGGCTGCTGCCGAGAGAGTACGCAGCCGTCTCTCGTCATGCCTAATAGCTTTCCTAGAAAAAGCCTGGGTCGTAGATAACCATAATCTACATTACTATGTTGCGGGCCTATCTAGCCCCGATTACCTATGGCCGTACGGTCAAGGAGGGAACGGGGGATCGGACGCGGACCGCTATGTGACACTTTACACCGCCACCGGTGTCGCTCCTGGTCACAGTCTCGAGCAATACGGCCTAGTGTAAGCGCCGCGGACATCAATGCCTCGAAGCGACGCCCCTGAGCGGGTCGGAGGCGACAAGCAGCATCCCGTTAAATGCCAGAAGGTCCAAAGGAAAGAGATGGCGGGTTATAGATGGCCGGCTATAATCAGGCAACTCAACTAATACGCCTCAAATTACCACATTATTACTTTTAATCGCCAAGTTAATCACCAACCAACTTAACATAAAATTAATTCCGGTCAAAAAGGGTGTATTATTATGAAAAGTGAAAAGTTTAAGGAAACAGCTATCAAAAGTACAAGCAACACAACTAGCATATTAGCCACTGATTCTGATTCGATCATGATGATGTTGGCCGTGCGGAGATCGAAAATGAACTAAAGTACATAAGGCAAAAGGACAAAAGGACAAAAGGACAAGTATGGCCAGCTGGTCCATGCTAGATAGACTTAATCTATCCTAGTCCATGTCATCAAATGAGTCGAAAAAGAAGAAGATCGTGAAAAGGGGGGAAGAAGAAAGACTGGAGACAAGGTTGTGGGATATTTTCAGTTGATGGCTAATCAAGCGCCACCTGAACCCCTATTAACAACTCATTTGCCTAATGTCTATGAGTATCGAAGCAAAAAGATTGCAATAACTGCAGTCGATGTCCTCAGTTACCACAAAAGCAATAATGCAAAGCTTTCAGATCTTCGAAGTTTCTTTGTGCACAGTGCTCGGAATACATGGTTGAGTTGGCAGAGTGACATGTTCAAGAGTTCTCAGATCGTGTTCGGGTGATACCAAGTCGTTGCACAGTTCCAGAGCTGTGCTTGGTGGGAGTGGCGGCATCTTCACCACCATCATCGTCCTGATCAGCACCAGGAGCACCCTGGGCAGCTCCCATGGGAGAGGGAGAGTATCCGCCGCCGTAATACATGGCTGCGAAGTTGGGGTCCTGGAGATAGGGAGTCATCCAAGAGTAAGGTGTGTGATAGTACGAAGCCAAGGGGCTCAGCATTCCCGGAGTGGCTTGCGGAGTTGCCGGAAAAGTCTCAGTGCCGGCCTGGGGGTTCGCCTGGTACGAAGTTCCGCCATAGGATGACGGGGTTGAATAGTTCTGATCTGCGATGGGCGCTGCGCCATAGGCACTGCCTTGGGGCACCTGAGAAGAGGGTGCAGAAGAAGGTGCGGCGGCATCTACCGCGGCAATGTGCGACGGGGTCGCGGGTTCGGAGGGCAGATTAGCCATAGTCTGCTTCTGGCCTTCAGCGTGCTCGCTACGAACAGGGGTGTTGACGGCACTGGAGAGCATGGTTCGAGACTGCATGTGACGAATACCCTGAGGCTCTCGGCTAGCTTTACGCTCTACGCGAAGCACACATCCACGCATAACCCTTCCATTCTACAGCATAAAAGTCAGTCAACCAGAACCAAGAGGCATACGGATTCGTGACCTGATAGGGAGCTTACCAAGTGCTTTACGGCAAGATCCACCATGTCGGGGCGGGCAAACTCAACGAAACCAAAGGCGATAGGAGCCTGACGGCCTGAGATTGAATCCGGTTAGCATCAGTCTCTCCTTAGAAATGAAGGGATACGAACTAGTTCGGCCATCCTTCTGGACGATTTGCACTTTCTGGACGTCGCCCACCTCACCAGCCAATTTGGTAAGAAGCATTTCGACATCAAAATCATCTATCGGAAGGTTGCCAACATAGATAGAGCGTCGGTCGATCTCATATCGCTGGAGCCAAGCTTCATCAGGATCGATCTTGGGAGCCTGCACGGATTTCTTGAGATCATAGGCGATGACGCGGTACAAAGGATGATGACGATATGCCTAGAGCTCTGTTAGTGGACCGCGGACAGACAATCTGGCTAAAGCGGGAGTCACATACAGAAATAACATCTCTGCTGGGATCAAAGTTGGTGAACTCAACCAAAATGCCACCCTTGATTCGCATAGCTTCCTGTATCTGAGGGTGGAGTTCCTCGCACTTGCTGAGAGGGCCAAAACCGCTTAGATGAATACGAGCCTCATCAAGAGTGACTTCGTCACCAAGAGCATTGTAGATGACAAAGCTACCTAGGTGCTAGTCAGCGCTGACAAGCTTCTATTGCTAATAAGGAGGGGGTTGCTTACGGTTCGCCTTCACCATCTCGGTGCGGCAAGGGCGGCCCTCGATCAGGATTCCACGACCCTGAGTCACCGCATTGTGAGCATCCTCATCTTTCTGGTCTCTTAGTTAGCTAAGTCCGGAGTTCGGGATTAGTTTCCAGCAACACTTACAGTATACTGGCAGAATGCAAACGGCATGTTTCGTTGATCGCGACGGATCTTCACGAAAACGATACCGTACTTGCTGAAAGCTCGGGTCAATTCCACCTCAAGACGTGCGTCTCGGACGAATTCAGGAAGGCTGGTTGAAAGGTTAGATCTTAAACACCTACAGTCAAAGATAGGGGGTCTATGGGCACGTACTTGGCAACGAACACACATGCCGTCGCGGGGTAGAAGGCCTGGGCATCAACGCCAGCGACTTGGGCTCTGTTGCCCAGATCAGAAGCGCGGGCGCGCAACATGGGAACCGGCTGCATAGTGGGAATGACACCCTGCATGGTTGAGCCGAGCATGTTCATAGGGGCCGTGGCCGAGACCTGAGCGCTGGGGCGAGGAGGAGATTCAAATACATCTCCATCGTCGGAGACCTTGCCAAGCTGGAAGCGAACATCATTCCTTTAACGGAATCAGTCAGCTGGTTGAATTCAACATGCACGAATTAAAAAGACTTACTGCTCATCAAGGTTGGAATGCTTCTGCGTGAAAAGGGGTGAATCGTGACCGTTACGGACAGGGCTCTTCTGGTGGCTATTGAGATGGAGTTAGCAGTTATGGACCGATAAGTTATTCCATTCATGAGGGAGAACTCACATGGACGACTTGGGAGAGTCAAGAGTGAGGTTGTCAAGGCCTACATCAAGGCGCACACCTCCACCTCCACCTCCACCTGCAGTAAAGCGTCAGCGTAATCACATTTACTATAAGAGCGTGGGATTGTTCAGTAAGCCACAAAAGAAAATTAACACTTACCTTGGTCGGATTTGGAAGTAGGCGACTCCGGAACAACGCGAGGCGTCCTAGTGCCAAGAATGGCAGACTGCTTCTTATGAAGAGTTGACATCCTGAGAGGGTTCACCGGATGTAGTTGCTGCAGGTTGCGATAAGTTCCTGTCTCAACCTATAATAATGAGCATCAATCAGTACAAACGCGAGCCGGTTGTAGCAAGCAGGCTAAGCAAATCGAATATGCGCCGCGTCTTGATGATGTCTAATGATAAGACCACAAGAAACAAAAAAGGAAGACGAGATAGTCACGTTACCATGTGGTAGCAAGAGACAAAGATGAAGGATGACCGAGAAAAGCGCGGGCGCCTCAAGCAGCAGAGGATATGCGTCGGTGGAACACGACGAAGACTTCTGAGTCTGCGGGTAGAAAAGGGGTAAATGTTTGATGGCTCAGGTGAAGACAACACAGTTTCCGTGATTACAGGAGGCGAAAAGACTGCAACTGCGCGACAAATCTTTTATTGGGAGATGCGGTAATGAATGGGGAATAAATGATGATGGACGATGAGAGGAATGAACTTACTACTAGCGAGGCTTCTCGAGATGCAGTCGACAAAATTGGTGCAAGATGAAGAACTGCTTTGTGTGCCTGGCAGGATCAGTACGCATTTGCGAGGAGGGAAAAACAAGTCGTCGGGGCAGCACAAGATGTTAAGATCACCTGAACTGAAGTTGGGGATGATGCGTCTAGTGTTCCGCATATGGCGAAACGCTAGGGCAACAAGAGGACCACGGCGACGACGAAGACTTGGGAACAAAATGAATGGACTTACCGAGACAGAAGTGCAAGTGTTTGCAGTTACTGATCCGAGATGTGATGGTATGATGGATGAAGGTCAATGTTCAAAAGTTGTTGCTACAGACGAAGCGACGTTAGTTGATAAAAGTGGGGTGGGATGGGAAAGGACGGCAAGGTATGGGATGTGCAAGTTGCAAGCTAACAGTGAATGGATCTGGGGAGAAATACTTACTACCAGATTAGAGCTTTGACCAATACTAAGTCGCGTTGTAGCAACAAGACTTAAGAACTCGCGTGCTAAGACTGAAGTATCAGTAGGGCGCGTCTCACGTCGATGCCAGAGTATCAATATCTCTAGCTTATCAAGATATCGTTCCAACTGTGTAACCAGATGTTAGATGTTAGAACTGAACTGCAATATTTAAGTTGCCTCCCTAAGATTGTTTTCTTCGCATCAAGACCACACCATTTGATGGTAAGTATGGCAAGGAGATACTAATCTTAGGTAGGCAAGGAATAATCGAAGCACTCACCTAATAACTCCAAATACCAATGGAGAAAGTTGAATCAAGAGTTGTAAACGAAAGTTGTGGCAAGAGATGATAGATGTAGATGAGATTCGAATGGATGTTGTAGACGGAATTGTAGAGAGAGCTGTATGGATGACCAAGAGTGACACGGAATTGGAACAGGTTTAAGTAAGACTGGGGAAGAAGGAATGTTTTGTAGGACTGGAGGAAAGGTTGGGGGGATTGGTGATTTTAAATAGTTTGCGCCGGCAATGTTGTATATCTACCACAATTACGTTTAATCAAGAAGGAGGCCAATACTTGGTACTTTAGGTACGTAGAGGTGCTCCTCAACAAGTGAATTTTAGATATCAGCTGAGGCATGTACAGGAATTGTGGCCCCGAATATTTCCTACGGAAGGAGCAGAAGCACTATGTGTATCACCTTAAGGGGAAAAGGGGGGAAAAGGGGGGCCCGCAACTTCCTACCCCGGAATTGTACTTGATAAACCCACCTTGTACGTACATATTATACTCATACATGTAAGTACCATGAGTATGTTTGCCCCCTCGTGGAGTACATACCTTCTTATGTGAGTAATCAGTGCTTGAAATTTACCTAATTGAGATGTTAGGTCTCGAGGCAGGCCCAAGTCTGGTTGATCCGAATATACTATATCATGTATATGCGCCTGCTATGTTAAAACTACAAGCCAAACATTTTACAGCCAATCAAGGCTGATCTATTTATATAAACGATCACTGCAATTGCCTAGCATTCATATTATTGAGGACCTGTAAGTAGATTCCATAGTTCACTACTTCAAGTTTCAGTACAATCATTACATGAATGTCCTGATGGGGTGATGGGACACTGATTCAAAGGGAGGACCTTCCTCAAATTAGGGAATCATGTACCTTCTCAGTATGTATCTTTACTTGATCTGTTTTATTTATTTTTTCCTTCTTCGTGTAATTGGACGATCTGGATCAAATCAGAATCAGGAGCCTGCTATTTCCTAATCAGTGTTATTCCATGTGAATTCATGGATATCTCTTTGTGTACAATCAACCAAGATCAATTCATAAGCTCTTGTCAATATCCAGAATCAGTTCACTGCCAGTCATAGAAATTCGTATGGACCCGTTTTATCGACCAATCTGGGCTAAGCTATTCATAATATTCACTTAACAAGTTGTGACTACCGTTTTTTTACATGCCATGACTCATGGTACAAACTTGAGAAACGAATTAATCAGTATTGATATCCTAATCATGATCCTAACCCTTCAAGTGAATGGTAATCGAACATTCTGTAACTTTATTAATAATGATTTTCGATCCAGGTAGTTTCCATCAAAGTAAATTTATTCAATCTTGACCCCCAAAGAATGGGATCTACCGTGTCATCTAGGTTGGCACCATGCTCTCGTATGGAGCCCCAAAGGATATTAGGGTGTAGAAGAGGCAGCGTGGATCGACAGGAATGATGATCTTTGGTATGACTGATCATAAATTCAAGAGATGAAGATATTTATATGAAAATACTATACGGAGACGATGTATTGCAATTTTGGAGTATTTAGCCCATATAAATCGGGAACATGAAGTCCAGGAGCATATACCAAAGTTCCGTTTTCGAATATGATGGTATTGATCTTTACTGTCAATCTACAGCATCGATTGTACAACTGTGTTGAATATGTGATCCTTTGCCGTCTAGGTGCTTTGGAGGCAACTGGCTTAGTTAATTAGTAGCTACCGGGAAGTTTATGTTAGGACAGATCAGGGCTTTGATTAAGTGCCTGTAACAAATACTGATACGATTAATTGGGCTGGGAATTTTTGGTACACATGGCTTTTGTTGACTAGAGACAGGCAATGCCAACGACACTTTTTCACCGTTGCGAATAGAACAGCAATATATACCTGTTACTATTATCAGGGTAACAAAGAAGAAAGGGGCCACATCCAGAGTTATTTGCGTCTAAAAATGGGTTCTAGTGTTGTAGACTTTTTGTTGTAGCCCGTATGTAAATTGTCCAGGACAGATCAGTCGTGGGGAACAAGGGGTTGATGTTATTGTGAATGTGAACTCCTGATGTGTCCCCTAACTGCAGCAAATAAAATAACAATTTGATAAAATAGAGAAATGAAGTATTGAGCATTGTTACTTACGTGATTTATACCTACATAAGTCATTCTTCTTCGGCTATGAAGATTCACTGCATTATCTTAAACGGTTTGTGAATTATCTAGGATTTTGATCGCGAAGGTTTCGAGGTCACACTGCTAAAACTTTTGAATAGTAAATAAACTAACTAACCTGACATGTGTATTCAATACAGACCCGTTTTCTATTCGTGAAAATACCATTTGCTTAGGGCTACCCTATTAGGTTGTATTTTTGACCTTTAGAATATAAACGCAGCAGGCAGCTAGACGCACATGGCGTATCAAACAAAGTTGCATTACGGCTGATTAAATCGTCGTAGTGTATCTTGGCTACTAGACGGGTGATATCTGGGGCTTTACAAGAACCTGAATTTCAGGCATAATTGATATGTGGCTGAATACTTGTATATGCTCTTTCGAATGTCGTCAATAACACTGGATCCAATTAAAGGGGCTCCATCACAGTAGATCAGATGAAGTCTTTAGAACTGAATGCCAATACTCCTCTTGATGGTCTATTCCGTGAAAATGAACTTGAAAGACGCGAATTACCCGAGAGGGCAACGATTAGCAGTATTATGAATTTTTACTGGATGGATATAAATATGCGATAGTATATAATTACTAAGGCTAGTAAGGTTCCATTCTTCCAACAGCGGAACCCGGCTAGGTGGCAACGCTGTCGAGATATTAAACACACTATGGAAGCCATATGATGTTCGACTTCGAACTAATAAGGCAGGGAATTAGCCCGGAAGCCGTTCCGGCTGAACGAGAGGTACTCGTGCTGATGAATTCAGCGAAGGGACCAGCGGAGCCACTAAAGAAGGAGTTCTCATATTTGGGTGGCTCTAGACGTGATTCCTTGTCTCGCGAGTGAAGTAAGTTGGGTTTTCCATTCTATCTACTATGCATAATGTCCGCACTATGTAGGGATATATCGTGATATTTTCTGAAAGCTTGTGTATCCTGGCATATGATTTCCAAGTACCAGACATGAGCAAGTTTCCTACCTATGTAAAAGGCCGGCAATATCATAATGTAGAGTCTCCTAAAGTTATCCGGCAATAGAACACGCAGCACTCTAATTCGCGAAGACGCTGGAAGATATCCACCGTAGACATCGTTCCCATGCTCCTTTGCGGTGTATTATTAAAAAAAAATAAGATAGAAAGGCGCTTACGTCGTGTATACTGTAGATGGCGCGTCCCCTTATATTGGCGGCTAATTCTAGTCAGCGTAAGTGATCCCGGGAAATTGACACATCTTTTTCTATTTAAGCGAAAAAGACCTTGACATATAATTAACATCCCCGCAATCCATACTCAGCCTTAGGTGACATATATCTACCTATACCACGTTTTGATGCAGGGGGTATCTGCTGGTTTCGCGAGATCTGCCGATGATTTGAGGCTTACTGGTTTGACTAAATCCAATGTACTGAACTCATACTTTATAGTTCATCTATAGAGATATTAGAATATATGGAGCCATGACCTAGGGCCGGATAACTTTCCCTTGTTCCATTCAAGGCTCCGGCCCGAGGAGTTCACCTTCAACTTGCTTGTATTTGATGGTGTTGTCTATTGATACATTGATGTATATTACCTTCTCATCTTTGGCATGCAACCTGAAGCGAAAGAGAGATTTTGTTTGGGGGGTGAGGGGGGTCGACCTAGGGTAGTCCGTTAAAATATAGATCACTTAAATGATACCCGCTGCCGCCCATCATGGACTGAGCTCAAGCTTCGTATATAGCTAGGAGATCAAGGTTCCCATGATGTCTTTTGCTTCGGTCTCCAGGTTTGGATTCTTCGCAACTCTGTTGCTCGCGGTAGCTGAGCCGTTTGCTCAGGCACGCCGCCTATCGGAGCTCCAGTTGAGGTTCTTGAACGGCTCAACGCAGGTGAAGCATTCGTATGATTATGTGATCGTCGGAGCAGGAACTGCCGGATTGACGGTAGCAGATCGTTTGACAGCGGATGGTAAAAGTGAGTCTCGGCGAGATCCAACATTGAACTATGCGTACTGATATCTTAACGTTAGCTACCGTCTTGGTCATTGAAAATGGCAAAGTAGGTGGGTTACACAATGATAAAGAATTCGACGTTGAATAGGTCTACTTACACTCGAGCATCAAGTCGACTCTCCTAGAATTAACCAAGTTTTCTCTGGTACTGCTGCCATGGGTCCGACTTGGTCGTACCAGATCAACTCGGTCCCTCAAGTCAACCTACAGAACCGGAGCACAGCCGTTATAGCTGGCAACCTAGTTGGCGGCAGCTCGGCGATTAATGCCATGATGACCGTTCGAGGAACATCAGAAGACTACGATCGATGGGGTAGCTTCTTCAGTAATAGCTCTACTTGGTCTTGGGATGGCCTCCTACCTTATCTAAAGAAGGTAAGGCTTTCCGTGTTCCTCATAATGATACCTCAGCTAATCCATCAAGGGTCTTACTTTCGTGCCCCCCGACCCCGCCGTGGCGAAATCCGTGAACCTTACGTTTGACACTTCATTCTGGGGTAACAGTTCTAACGTATACGTGGGATGGCCATTCTTCCAGTGGCCCGGTTTAAGTAAGCCACTTCACCTGCCCAGGTTAATATTGTCTATTGACACAAGGTTCAGCTACACAAATAGAGGCCTTTAGAGATATACCTGGTGTTGAGTTCCCCCCTGACAGTGGTGCAGGCAGGGCAGGTATTTACTGGTTTCCGACTTTCATGGACCCTAAGAAAGTGCAAAGGTCATATGCTAGAACTGGACATTACGATGGAATCAACAGAACGAATTATGATGTCGTTACGCAGTCTCATGTGACGAAAGTTCTTCTCGAAGAGGGGACCGCCACGGGAGTTGTTTTCCGACAAAAGAATGGCAATGCTACCACTTTCACCACAGTCAAGGCCAATCGTGAGGTAATACTTTCCGCGGGCGCGATTCACTCTCCCCAATTACTGCAGCGCAGCGGAATTGGGCCTAAGAAGCTTCTGGAGTTAGCCGGCTTAAATACGACTGTTAATCTACCTGGCGTCGGCCAAAACTTCCAGGATCACCCAATGCTCCTCATGAGCATTGTTCGTAAGTAACCCCTATACGATGTGTATTGGAAGCTAACCAACAACCATTCTAGTCCGGAACCTTACGACTCATCCAAGTCCATTAGATATGTTTGGTGGAAACAAGAATTTCACCGACTGGGCACAGGAGCTATGGAGAACCAATAAGACGGGTAAGTCACTGAGTACAATATAAATACGGGACCTTAACCTGATTTTTGATGCATTTTAGGACCATACTCAATGGGTATTGGCAATGCTGCAGCATGGCTAGGCATGCCTGTAATTTCCCCTGAGAGATTTGAAAGCATAGCGTCCAAGTTGGAGAATCAAGACCATGCTGCTCAGCTACCCCCGGATACCGATCCAACAGTTGTTGCTGGTAGGTTATCCGAACACTCTATGTTAAGGGACAAGGAAAGAAAGGCCATAAAATACTGACATCGATCAATAGGGTATAGTGCGCAAATGAAGAAGATGGCGGCATCAATCCGTTCCTCGAACACGGCCTTCTAGTAAGTAACCCCTATAAAATGTCTGGACACATGACACGCGCCAGAGTATTTCATGTGCCTTGAGCTTGCTTCTTAACCTCGACGCTTTCGACGATGATAATAGTAACTTACCATACATTCTCTAGCAACCACGTCCTAACTGGAGCTGGGTCCTCGGGCACGTTAGTAGATTTGCATCCCCTTAGTCGCGGCACAGTGAACATCAACCCCGCAGACCCGTTCGACACAGAGCCCATAGTTGACTATAGGGCTCTTACCAATCCTGTCGATCTCGACATCATGATCGAGATGCTCCGGTTCACCAAGCGATATTTCTTCGAGACAAGACTAAAGGAGCTGTCCCCCAGGCAAGTACAGCCACCCGACTACGTTAACGAGCCCGAAGATCTGGCCGGCTTTTTGGCGCAGAACCTCAGTCCTTCCGAGTTCCACCCCTCGGGAACTTGCGCCATGATGCCTAGAGAGCTTGGAGGTGTGGTTGACGAGAGTCTAAAGGTGTACGGTGTGAAGAATTTGAGGGTCGTTGATGCTAGTATCATGCCTACGTTACCTGGGGCCAACACTTGCCAGAGTGTCTATGCTATTGCTGAGAAGGTAAGTGACGCCCGGCGTACACAAAGATATCTACTAACGCTTCGCAGGCGGCCGATCTCATCAAGGCTGATTCGGATATGGACCCAACCGTAAGTACTGTGTAAACTCTAAGCGCTATATGAGAAAGACCGTATTCGTATGGTGACTCGGTAAAAGGTTGAGGCTATGGAAGTTAGGAACGGTTGAAATGGGGTATAATATAGATCTACGGGATGAAGCTGATCTATCTGGAGAAAATAGACATGATTTGGAGCTGCCTATGCGGACCCACGTAGTCCCATTCGAATCTGAGTCGTAGTTAGAGCAGTATCAAGATACCATAAAATCACTTTCATAGTTTGTTTCTTGGAGAAGCCCGTATAGCCGTATAACCTCTACAAGCCTGTGTTTGCTTCCCCTGATATGCCTCCCTCTCATACATCATTCCGTGATGTTAGTACAATAAAAGATCCGATAGAAGCCTCAAGACGCCAGACGCCCATTAAACGATAGAACCGCGATATTACTTCAGCTCTCTATTTCCAACACTTGTTTCAAACCTGTTTCTGCTGACCTAAACCAGCGTCCCCGCTCCTCGAGATCATCTTGGACACCACCAAGAGCAGCTTCCTTCCGTCTCTGCGCCTCCTTTGCAGCAGTCTTGCTATTCTGCCTCTTTGTCTCGAGCGGCTGTAGCTCAGCTTGCAATCGATCTAGTTCCTTCTTTTTCCTCGGGACTTGACTTTGTAGTTGTTCTAATTGCCTGTCCAATTCAGCTTTTCGCTGCTTTTTTGACTCGACTAGGTCTAAGGTCTTGGCTAGAGGCAGATTTAGCTCGGGGTTTGGATTTGATCCCGTTTTCTGCGTCTTCTTTAACTCTGCAACTGCATTCTCGAGGTCTTCAATTTTGCGCGGAAGCTCTTCCAACTTGACTGTCTCGACTTTGATTTTCTCATATTTTCGACTTAGGTCCCTCGCTTTTCCCTCAAGTTCGGTAACCATAGATGCGACCTCGGTTTTCAAGGCTTTCAACGTGGCCTTTGCCTCTATATTCTCCTTCTCAAGATCCAGGTTTTCCTGGGGGCTGACGATAAGAGGTGGATCGCCCACTATAGCTCGGATGAACTTCTCCTTGGAGACTTGTTCTACATAACTAAAGCGCAACTTGGCGAATAGTTCCCGGTAGTGTGTTAAATCTGCTTCAAGAGAGGACGGTGTAGTTGCGTCAAGGGATGAATTAGAGACATCAGATGTTCGCTGATGAACATCCTGTAGATGTGTGATCGCAGCCGATATAGGTTCACTGAGCTTTAAGATGGTGATGTCCTGCTTAGCGCTAAGTGCCCGTAACCTAGCTAAGACATCATCAGCTGAAGGAGGAGCCATTGTGATGAATGTATCCGTCGCGTGTTTTATTATATACCTAGTATTGATGTTCGAAGCTTTTGTTACTCGAGTGTGTAAATACAAGGATGTAAATAGGTATGTAGGTATTTACTTTCATCCAAGAAAGGAAAGGTGGGCTATGGATAGTTGGCATAGTGAGAAGTGAGACCCTGTCATTGATAAGAGATAAAGAATAAGCGTGGTAGACAAACAGGCAAGCAGGACATGGGTTTTAAATCTTTTTCTGGTAACTACCTAGGTTTGGCGCGCGCTGGCAAGTTCCTTTATTTAGGTAATGACGGGACATGGACCCACTTGTCCAACATGTATATTGCTGTCCATTTGACTGACTTTGGACCATTCACCCCGCTGACTAGCTGCGCTGATTTAACGATCTTTTGAACTCTTAACGATATTCAACTCATTCCTCTTAGATCCCCTTAAGCAACCAAAAATGCCTCCCGAAGACCTACTAACAGACGACCAAGTCGCCGAGCTTCTGGTTAAGGAAGCCCAGGACTGCTCTCTGAGGTATTCTGCGATGGGTTTAGATGCATTCAAATCTAATAAGTAAGCGCCTAGTCTATGCATAAATTCACTGTTGTGTCACCAGTCTCTGCTTCTCCGTCTTGTCTGTCCCTAGTACCATGTAGCTAACAGCTATACCTGCCAGGCGTCCTGCAAACCAACCTAAACCTAACACCCGATTCCTCAACAATATCATCCGTGACACCAATAGCCATAATCGAGCCCTTCTTGCCAAAGAAAGTGCCGAGTCTAAGGCAAAACTTCGTGACCTCGAAGATGCGGAAGATAAGAAGCGGAGGGAAGAAGAGCGGAGACTGCGCAAGAGCAAGCCCGGACCCAGCGACACCCGAAAGCGTATGCTAGGTGATATCGCTGCCATTCTAGGAGGCTCGTCTAAGAGGCGTAGGACTGAAAAGACTGAAGCGTCTACCAGCCATGCTTCAGATCCAGCGGCGCCTCACGCTGAGGGTGATAGGGGCGTGAGAAGAGAAAAAAGTCGAAAGGACCTTTCGAGGGAACGCGATAGAAGTTCATACCGAACCCATCGCCGAGATGAGGGGAGAGAAGAAGACCGGCGCGAGCACAGGGCACGTTCGCCACGGCGCGAAAGCCACCACCACCAATCAAGGACCTCAAGGCGCACCCAGCGTCAATCTTCCCGAGACTCGTCTGATTCGGATCCTTTAGACGATATCATTGGCCCTGCGCCAGCTAAAAACTCTACTGTTCATCGACGAGGACGGGGTGCTAACGCCGCCACATCTGGGATAGACGGTCGTTTCGCTCTCGATTACGATCCAAGTAAAGACGTTACGCCCGAGCAGGAAGACGCAGATGACTGGGATAATGCGGTAGAAGCGTTTCGTGATCGACAAAAGTGGAAACAACAAGGAGCGGATAGACTACGGTCTGCAGGCTTCACTGAAGAACAAATCAAGAAGTGGGAGAAGGGCGACACCAAGGACGAGAGCGACGTACAATGGACCAAAGCTGGAGGTTTAAGAGAGTGGGACCGAGGCAAAGTGGTTAGTAAGGACGGCACTGTGACCTTGGCAACAGACACCGAATAAGAGATGGCGTCGATCGACTTGCGCATGGTTCGAAAGCATCACAAAAAGCGTATCAACTTGGGTTTCATTCGTCCTTCTTTTAGTGGCGTACGGAAGATATCATTACATAGTTGCATAGGTAGCACGGCACCGCATAGCACATCATAGCATATTACGGCGTAACGAGGCATGGCATGGCGTTGATGGCATATCCCACGCGGTATCTTAGGACTGACTTATCTGGTGGGATGTTTGACTTGGAGATATGATGAGCTAGGACGCCTTCATTCAATAAACTTTACACTGCTCATCTCCCCATCTCTTGAAAAGTTGCTATATTAATTCACGGATTAGATAGACAACCCCTCACTCGGATTCGAAGTGCGCACCTTAGTCGTTTTATCTCAAAGATAAGTTGAAAGTCTGATCCGTAATAAGAAATTGGGGAACAGACACTTACCCAAGATTCGGATCATAGAAGCGTTTACGAATTGAAGTCATAGCTATCCTTACAAGGTAGGTAAATAAATATTCTTCTGGCCGCGCAAGTAGAATTGCCGAAACAGGTAGTGTTTCTGACTTTAAACGAATCAAATCCCTCCACGGCTCGTATACATACAGACATTCTTCTAAAAGCGGTTCTTTTCGGAGCGGTGAGTTTGGTAACGAGGAGAGACCGCAATTAAATATACGATTAATGTTTTCCCATGTGTGGACCATGTTGTGAACGGACTAATTCGCGCGAGTTGATAGTTTACACTATATATCACTTCAGAATTGTGAACTTTGAGGTCGGATATAAAGCGTAATAATATCAACACAACTCTTTTAATGTAAATTCTCATGTATATAAAATTCTTAAAACATATTCAACAAAATATTTGGCGTACAAATTGACAGATTTGGGGAACTTAGCTCGGTTTTCTTTTTTTAAGTTCGTAGTGGCTATTCGAAAACTAAATAATGGCAAGGAAGGGCTATGATGGTTGGTGTGTTGTTTTAGGAGTGTACCATGCAATAGGATAGACTTCAATCTGTGTAGGTGGGCGTGAAGGTTATAATGTGAAGATACCCGTGAGCTTACCAGATTCCCGATCTTGAAATTGTGAAGTGCAATAGCAATATGCTGATCTCGACTGGATTGCTAAAAATGGGTTTGTCCGGTATTGAAAAGGGACCAAGAAGAATATAAAATTGCTATTGCGTGTTTGCTCGTGTGATCGATGAGATCATTTTCCCTTGCGAAACATTCGGTATACATAGTCCACCCACCTTCTCGGCTGTTTCCAAGAGAAGTCATTTGGCTCTAAAGAGTCATTTAGGTTCTATGTATATAAGGGACCGTGTATCTAGGTCGCGTCGGTAATCACCATCAGATCAAGCGCACATGCTCAAGCCTGGCCGGATTGAAAGATAAAAAAAAAAGAGGAAAAGGGGATCGCGTTACTTTTACTTTTAATGTTCGCGCTAGTCCGTCAAAATTGTGACGCAAGCACGCGCTTACTTCCCCCAACTAACCTAATGTAGCAATCGACCAACTCAGAAATCTAGCTCTAAGCCCCGCTGGAGTATGTATGCTTTGGGTGGCCCCATGCTAAAATGCACCCACTTCAGACCCTCGAGCCCGCTAGAAACCTACCCACCCTGCCACCCTGACATCCTGACCTCACTATTAACTTTCGCAGTTCCAGTTAGGTAATTACGTCCCACCACCTGTTGTATGCATCTGTGCATCTGTGCATCCGTTACATCTATGTAAGTACAACAATGCCGTCAACTCCGCAGTTGCGCATCCTAATCCTTCCTATTATTACTATCATCATCGTTGCCGCCCAAGTCTAATTCTAAAGTCTTCTTCATCCTAGTTTTAAAAGGGCAATTTGCCTTTTTGAGGTCTCTTGGATTTTTATAGATCTTCCCTTTAAATCCTGTCTTATCTCTATCTTGTGCTTCCTTTTCCGTGGTCTCGTTATTCTATCGTCCCCCCACTTCGTTCTATTCGGACTCGACTTATCTTGAATACGTTTCATGCCCCCTCAGCGATACTAGCTTCTATTAGTACGCTTACTCGTTACGAATGGTCGACTACGAATTTGGGCAGCTGAATTGCCAGCTACGTTAATAAACAGTTCTTTGCGGTCTTCTATATCACCGCAAATATGCGACCACCAAGAATTATCATCCTCGTTACCTTCTTCGCTGCTTGCCTCTTCCTCGTATGTCGTGCCGTCACATCCGCTGGGCGCCCCGCCCCCATTATATCCTCCAGCCAGCCAGTACAGAAGTCTGGCTTTGTCGGCTTCAGATCCATCTTCTCTTTCACGACACCTTTCACCCTTTTCCCGCCTAACGCTATTATCACCATAGCCGATGACAACAGCACCTCATTCGCAGCAAGACCTGCTGCTTTTGGACCTCCATTACCAACGCACGGCTTGAATGGTCAACTGTGGATCGGTAGTGGTTTTACCGAGGAGTCTACACAAGATGGGGAGGGCGAAGGTGAATTAGGATGCAGTGATGTACTCGGCTGGGATGATGGCACCTCGAATGCCGTCTTGAAACCATCCGTAAAGGAGATCCAAAATAAATTTAAACCCGCTATTGCTGTCGAGAAAAATAAGAATCAGAAACGAGACAACTCCAAAGGTCCCTTAGTCGATCGAACCGCTACCTCCAAGTCCGATTCTAAATCTAAGGTTAAGCCTGTGGACGACGGAACCGATGACTACCTCCACCAGAAACTTGACAAGTCAACCACGTCACAGAGTGATGCGCTTGGTTCTTCAAGCTCGGGGCATGCGGATATCCAATCGATACAAGAGGGAGCTGAGATTGCCGGTAAGATAGTCCTGTTAAGTCGTGGTGGGTGCGGTTTTCTCGAGAAAGTGAAGTGGGCCCAACGACGAGGTGCCATTGCTTTAATTGTCGGAGACAATCAGAGAGGTGGCCCATTAATACAGATGTACGCCCACGGGGATACGTCTAACGTTACCATCCCTTCCATCTTTACGTCTCGTACGACCGCCTATCTACTCTCACTCATGATGCAACCCGGGAGCTTCATCGAAGATATAATTGATGAGAATGGCAAACCTTCTTTGAAAGTGCAGCAGTCCGAGAAGGCCCGCAAGAACAGGAGGGCAAGACAAGCGGCCTCTCCAGCGCAATCCATCAAAACCAATCCTCAATCTAAAAGCGCAAAAACGCCAATAAGCAAAAAGCCGTCGTCGCCAGGTGATGGACTGTCGAACTCAAGATCCAGCTGGATCAAGAGGATTTTTAGCTGGGGTCCTAATTCCAATTATAATTTGGCATCAAGCGGCAGCCGTCCGCCTAGCAGTGGCCAACTTGACTGGGTGTTGGTTGAAGACTTCTCGGACGAAAAGGACAAGATCATAAAGAGCAGTCTTGAGCGCGCATCAAAGGCTAGACTAGATGGTGCCTCAAAGTCAAAATCCAAGCAAGGCCCTAATGATAATTTCCAGATAGGCGTGGAAGACTGGCGTGACCCAGACCTAGTCGGATCGTCCGACCAAGATGATGAACTACAAGATTCGGTAGGAAGAAGCAACAAGCAGGCAAAACCGAATTTGGGGTCTAGTCAAGCCTCGAAGCAACACGGCAACGCGAAAACTAAGGGGATGGTTACTCCCAACAGCGGACAATATGTCGCAGGTCGTATGCCCGCAAAAGGGTCTGACGCTATCGGGTCTACTAATAGCAAGATATTAGCTCCATCGAACGGTGGTCTTATTTCTAGGATATTCGGGGATGGTGATAGAGCGGGCTCTGCTAAAGTCGAAACCCAACCTAAGCCAGCTAATACAGCCAATGATGGGAAGCTTGCTCCTGATCCTGGGAGCTCTCTCCCTGATGCCGATGAACGGGAAGGTCTATGGGTTATCATTACCCCCTCGAGTGGCGCCAGTCCTTTTTTCGACACACTCCTGGTTCTAGTCATCAGTCCACTTATTACACTCACAGTAGTCTATGCCCTACTCATTCTACGAGCACGCATCAGGCGAAGAAGATGGAGGGCACCAAAATCAGTAGTTGAACGACTTCCGGTACGCACGTACCATACAGTAGCGTCCACATCAAGCACGTCTAGAGTCCCATCACCTACTAGTTCGTCGCCGACAACACCGTTACTCCAGAATCAACATAGTCCGTCGAGGTCTAGACCACGATCGCGGACTACCACTGGTGTGCCATCAGCTGGCGACCTTCTGCAAGTTGAATCTTCCTCCCCAATACCTAAACCCCCTTCACGTCCCGAGCATGAGAAACGGAATGGACAACACACAAGCCAATGGAAAAAGTACATGGGCAGACAAGTCGAGTGCGTCGTATGTCTAGAGGAATATGTTGACGGCGTCAGCCAAGTTATGAGTCTACCTTGCGGACATGAGTTCCACGTAGACTGCATGTAAGTTCACCCTTTTTCAGCTTTTAAGATACAACTAACATATGATAGAACACCATGGTTAATAACACGACGGCGAACCTGTCCCATTTGCAAGGGCGATGTTGTCCGGTCTCTTGCTCGCGGGATGTCATCCAGCCCTCGGTATGAACCATATCAGGATGATAGCGACGAAGATGTAGAAGTGCAAGCAAGCAGTTCTTCATCTCCTGACGACCCTATCGGACGCACGGATAATTCCGACGTAGAGCAAGGCGCGCCAATATTACACCACCCGCATCAGGAGGGTTGGTTCAGCACACTGAGGAATAGTATGCGAAACGGGCTTCTATCTTGGTCTAGGCGAACACCAGAAGAAACAGAAAGCCAAGGGAGGGAATAGGTTTTCTCACCTGTACGATCTGCTTCTACATGATACCATCGGCGTTCGGTCACTGCAGCGACATGATTTTAATATACTGGTTACGGGTTGGCAAAACATCAGGGAACAAGGTTAATGGTTAGGGACAGGATTACCGCGCTTGTAGGCGCATCAGACCTTCAGAACTCTTCTCTAGGATTCGTTCTAGTTTTGCAAGAGGCGAGCAAGCATGAATTACATGCTAGCATCTATGGGATTAGTCAATGGATTGTAGATTATTAGGTTGTAGAGACCGCATCATTACTAGCCTACGGGCTTAGATGAGGATTTGTTATACCCTGTGTAGTCACTATACATGGCTATGGTGAATACAAGTCTGACTCGATGTCTTTTATGTAACAGGTGTTTCTTATAATAATCGGAACTCGCAACATGAGTTAATGTGTACGTTTAATAGTAATTTTCACGCTTGCGCTTTGTAGTGTTTGATAGCATTATGTTTCTAGTGCCAGACATATCGAGGTACAGAAGACTGCCTATAGAAAGCAGTTACCATAAGTTACAATCTTATAAAGTCGACATGATTAGATGAATGAATTTGCCTCGGGGCCACCCAATTCAGTATGTTTGGTTTGAATATCAATAAATAAGACCTTAACTACCTGTATATGAACTCCAAAGTATAGGATGATGGACTTGATGTGTCCTACATAATGGTCAAAGCGCCTGTCTAAAGGGGCAAGTGGGGGTCTTTGTGCCCGCATTAGCCGATCTGGATAGGACAGGGGTCCCCGGCGCATTGTGCGTTATGACGACAACATCTCTTCAATTTGACAAACTGCACGTGTCATTCATTCTATAATAAACGAAATCAATTCTTGACGTATTATAACTTGACAGCTTTTTATCCATCTCTCTATATTTTTAAGTTCTCCAACTTACTACTTACAAGAAGACAAAATTTATTACATATCATACTACTAGAATATCTAATATCAACATCTAACTAAGGTCTTAGCAATGTCTAGTGGCTTCGCAAGCAACGTGCAAGCCAGAGCCCAAGAGGTGGCGTATGTGGTGAAACCTTTCAGCTTAAATGATTTCATATAACTAACTTCATTATAGGAAAGAAGATTATGAGAAAGCAAAAGTCCTCCTGTCAGAGGCTGCAAGAAGCGGATCTTACCTGTACCCATTTCGGTATCAAAGCCTGCCTTTTAAGCTAGATTTACTACCGGAATACCGGGAGCTAACAGTTCAATAGGGGTATTATCTACTTCATTACACATAGATCATTATGGAAACCATTTTACTCGCGCATATTGCCTACTCTAGGGCTTACTGCAGGAGTTACAGCGGCCATGTTTTTCTTCACTTATCTACCACAGCTAGCAATCCTCGTCTTCGTAAACGGGCCCTTGGCCGTCTTTACCACCGTGCTTCTTATACTTAACGAGAGCTCTACTATTGTTAACCTTATTTCCCGCAATTTTCTCTTACAAGATGCACTTCTCGACACTTTTGACGGTACACTCGTTGCGAAGGGCGCAATCGGTATTGTTAGCGAGGGGCGACAATTGAAACCTGGCCAAGACCCGATTGGAAGGCTGGGCAAGATTCTTAAAAACCCATTCTCCAAGTTTACCCCAAAGGCCTTGATCAGATACGTTATGTATCTTCCACTTAACTTCATTCCCGGTATGTTTATAAATCGAGATGTAGTGTTCGTTGCTAATGAGAGCGCATCTTCAGTCGTCGGCACCGTCATATTTATCATTATCCAAGGTAAGTAAATGTATCTTCCCTACCAACTAGCCACTAGGTATAGTCTAACGTATCCATTAGGTAGGACAAGAGGCAGTTCCATCCATGACCGAGTTCGTCTTCCCCGATATGTCTTATGTTGTTATTACCCCTGACTAGTTACAGTATTTCCAACTGAAAGGGTGGACGCCATCTCAACAACGGGATTGGCTTGAACGCCACTCCGCTGCATACGCAACGTAAGTACCGAATGGTTACTATAAATTTCACGTGGGTAGCTTACGTTGTGTTATAGCTTCGGAATAATTGCGACTCTCCTCGAAATGATACCTATAGTGTCGATGTTCTTTACATTTACCAACACTGGTAAGTTTGATTTGGCCCCGGCAACAATACTTGACGGCTTACAACTGGTATTAGTGGGTGCTGCGCTCTGGGCAGCCGATATTGAGCAGAACAACACAGAGATGACACAGGGCACTGCCCCTAACCTGCGGGAATCTGCGAAGAAGGCCGAGTAGGGTTGCACGAAAGACGCACCAGACCGACGCCTCCGAGATTAAGTGCATCGAAGATCCGGCACAGCAATGCATAACCGACCTGCATCTTGGTAAGACTTTGACTAAGTCTTGAGGCAGGTAACTTGTGCTATTCGTTACCATTCAGGTTGCAAAACAACAGGCGAGGAGTAGTAAGATCGTGAAGCTTTAGGGATTTCAGTTAAACGAACTACTTAGAAGATTCAATGGGCACTAGGCACTCGGAACTACATATGCAGTGTATCTGTGGCTCAGGTCCATGTATCACAGATAAATCGGTATTATAATTCGGAACTAGTCACCATACTTCGCTGAACTAACTGTACCAATCTGTCTTTATGTGCATCGGGATGTCATCCATTACTACATAGAACGTTTGGACACAGGGTCCTACTTAAAGTGGGTAGACATATTCCCAGTTTTAAATGTCCGCTGAGGCGTTTGTTTTATGTCTCATACCATAAGTAAGTAGAAGGGGTTTTGCACGTGCTGTCCCAACTTCCGACCACTTGTCTCAGAACATAGTGCATGGAAAACTACACAATCTCGATTAATCTACACGAAACACGTCAATACCACGGGAACTGTGTCTGATATTCTAGAACAGCCCCAGTTCCAGTCCGGGGGAAGAACCTTTACGGGTTTGCTCCACGCCCCAGTAAAGGGATTTTACGGGAATTGATGCAGTGAGGCATTCTAGACGTGGTACACACCGATCTATGCGGAATGAGGAATGGATAATGTTATCCACCTTGACGTACCTAATCCACACAGCTATTATTATAGTCTTCTGCCTACCTGCTATACCTAGGTACTAGACAAGTGAGATATCCAAGATGAAAATCTCTCGAGGTTAGGTGATAACGGAGGGTCTCTTTTAACTGTACTCATATCATGCAGGATTAGACAGGAGAGAGCTTGGGGACATCTAATGGGTAATTTATGCAACGGTTAGGTGCGTCTGGCACCTACCACTTGTCAAGGCTCTCTGCAGCTTTATGCATATAGCCTCGTTTAGTCCCCAAGCATCGTGTAGCCACTGCAGGAGGTAAATTTACCTATTTACCCTTTTGGCGAGATTCTCGGAGAACCATAGGTAGCTTTTTGAGCTCAATTTTCCATATCACGATCTTGAGGGATCTTGGTCGCTCGACATATGTCACATTAGCTTCTTACCGAACTGGTGTGAATTGTATGAGGTAATATTACACGGTGTTACTACTACTTTAACAAGGATTGACATGCCACAGGGGGACGACACAGTACTCATTACTTAATCCCGTATTGCTCACAGGTTTTTAAGCTACAAGTCCAAGTGAGTTGGAATTCTGCAAGAGCAAGGGGAAGATGACCCAGAGGGGGACTTTGTAGCGACCTCGTATGTCTAGAACTCGGGGTTCCTGTGGCGTCGTTAAATTAAAACGTCTTAGAAGATAGGTAGCGTTCCCGATTCAAACGAGCTTTTTTAGTGTCTCTATCTTCTTGGCTACCTTCTAAGAGACATATTCGGAATGGGCTACCTCTCTGATCAACGCAATTGTCTATGTAATAGTTAGTCATAAGATAGATATCTAGAGATGTTAAGCTGCGAGGTTTGACAGAACTGCAAAGTGCCTGTTCTTAGTCTTTAAATGATACCTTGTGTTGCAACTTTTAAAATTTTACAAATATATTACAAGCTACCTAGGACAGATTTACTTGTTAGTCGTATTTGAAGATATTAGATATTAGAATTCATCACATAGTCCTTAAAGATACACGTACACACACGCATCCAGGACATTCCTAAACGGGGTTTGATGTGTACATTTTGTAAAATCTTGTAAAATAGGAGAAGATGTGCTTCCTGCTCCGTGCCGAGCGGCGAGTGCGAGAGGGCACCGAACATAAACCAGATTCCGTAACCTACTTCTTGATCCCGCCATCCTCGTATGATATAGAAGGCTTCTGACAGACGGACAGACGGCCAAACACGTAATATACTTCAGTACTTTGTATATACTTGATACCTAACTACCTAAAAGTGGGGTTGTTACCGTTCCTCTCGGTGGAAACCAGAGGCTGTCTCGACTTAATCTCTCTCGATGGTGCCGCTCTTTCCCTCGAAAGAAGCACCAGCGGTCTACATCTAGGTATCAACGCGTCGGCTAGCTCCTTCTACTACACTGCCCCATCTCAACCTTGTTCTTTCCCAGTATAACTTACCTCCTTCTCTCGATTGGATTTATCTGCTCAGTTATCTACCGATATCATCCGTCCACATCCGTCCCAGTCCTTTCCTTCCTTCCGCCAACTTTCTCTTTTCCGGGTAAAGAAATCCAATCCATGAAACACGTTCATTATTTATTTCCCCCTTAACTCCTCTATATCACTACTTAGTATTCCTTCCTTCGTTTTTCCTTTTTCTTCTAATCCTTTACTACGGACCGTCTACGCTCATTTTTGTTCCCGTCGAGTACTACTACGACCCACACATATTTTAAAACATCTGTAATATCCATCTTGTAGATTCCGGGCTGTTATTAGACACCCGTTATATCTACCATCATGAGAGCCTTGACGCTTGCTGCTGACATAGTGTCGGTGGCTTTTCTATTCGCAAGCCTTCCGTGTACTCGAGCAGTGCCTCAAGGGGATGAACTTGATATTCAACGTGATTCCTCTTCTGATATAGACACTCAGAAAATTGACTACGAATTGTTCGACGACCCTCAGCATGGCCCAAGCGGTGGATACAATTATCATACTCCCACATATGGGGGATATGGCTCTCCTCCCCCTCCGCCCTCCACCTCCAAGGCTTCTTCGTCAGGTTTAACCCAGCCCAGCCTCAGTACAAATTCACCAAGTATTCAGGGATCTAGCCATGCGTCAAGCTTCGTTAATGGTTCGACTTTCTATTCAGGTATTTACACTATTATCTTAGTTTGGCAGTATAAGCACTCACCCGGTTTTAGTTTCATCAACTCCTGGCCCAGGAGGGGAATCTGTCTCGTCTGGCCCAGGGTCATTATCCGTAACAAATACTTCCTCGTACATGTCTATGTCTAGCGTGCCTAGTACAACGGGTGTTTCGCCGACGTCAACTACGGGGGAGACAAGCGGTTCGATTCTTACGTCTACTCTTCCCGAAGAGTCGAATTCTTTGGCAACTTCAACTGGCAGTTTACCTTCTTCTGGCAATCCTACTTCGTTTCTTCCTACTGTGCCCAGCTCTACCTTGGTATGTTATCATATCTTTGAAACCTTTTTCATAATCATATAGGGGCTCGGGTATACAGAAACGAGGGTATAGGACAAATTTATTATAGTATAGGACCTTACTAACAAGCATATCCGTAGAGCGGTCTTTTTAACACCACAGTATTAAGCACAACTAGTAGTACTGGTATAGGTGAGGGCCCCGGGGGCCAAGGTAGTCCTCCCACCACGGGTCAAAGCAGTCCGTCTACTATTAGCAACGGAGAAAATACAGGAGGCCAAATTACCATCCCCGGAACGAGCACGGGAGAAGAAGTTACGACTGTCATCATATCTTCCGGCATTTCGGTTACTAGGACTATTATTGAGAATGGAACGACGTATGGCACCTCTAGTATAGCCGCTATAACTGGAAGTAGTCTAAGTACCTTGTCACAACCGTCAAATGGACTCTCGTCGGGTGTAGAGTCGCCCGGGTCCACAGGGCTGCCAACCTCTGGCCCAGAGTCAACGCAAAGCGCAGTACTTTCTGGATCGGAAACTATCTCTTTAGGTACATTGGGAACAGCAAGCATGTCCCCAACTGCTTCATCGGGTATTTCGTCTCCTTCAATCGGCGGGACTTCTGCGCCTTTTCCTACCTCGAACTCAACATCTAATGTCAACCCTACAGGGCCCACCGCGTCTAAAAGTGGTTTGCAGTCAATTACTTCGGGATCTTTAGTAACTGGAAGCAGCGTTACGCAAGCAAGCTCCACGGGTGAGACTATTAGCTCTCTATCCAATACGACTTTATCCCAAACTAGACCATCAGGTCAGGGTGGTCCCAGCAGTACCATTGGCACAGAGACTTTATCATCTGGAACTGTCCCTTCATCAGCCGGCTCTGCAATCTCGGGCTCTTCGACGATACCTCCATTTCCTGTCTCAAACGTGACGAACAGCAAAGGGCCTACAGCAGGAAGCTCAGGATTCTCTATTGCTAGCTCAAGTTTTGTCACTACGCTGTTCCCAACAACTGGTTCTACATCATCAATATCCACAATATCGGTATCTAGTATGGAGATCAGTAGTCTTGTTGCATCTGGCACTCTAACCGAGAGTGGGAGATCTTCCACAACAACAGCACCATTCCCACTTTCCAATAGCAGTATCAGTGTTACCACTGGGTCATTTGGTCAAACAATCACACCCACAGGAACGGGCGGGGCAATTACAGTACCACCCCAGTCTGGTTCCTTGGGAACCCAAACGCAGTCTGTGGGCGTGGGAACGAGTTCGGTTGTAGTGCCAAATACGTCCTCTGCACCGTTCCCCCTGAGTAACTCGACTACGGGTACTGTAGTCTCTTCTCCAGGGACAGGCAGCCCTACAGGGACTGGTGCTATCACCAGCTTAGCCTCGTCTTCTCCTACACTGAACTCATCATCACCACTTACGCCTACAGGTGTCTCAACTATTCTATCGTCGAGTGAGTCCTCTCAGGGAACTGGCCCCGGAGGCCAGGGGGCGTCTACAACCCCGCCTGTTCAATCAAATATAACGACTAGTACATCAAGTCTTACAAATAAAACTCTTGGAACCGGTACTGTGACAGTTCCCAGCAGTTCTGTATCTGGTACTCTATCTATTATCACCTCCCCAACGACAAGGTCGGCTCCGTTTCCACTGACTAACTCGTCAATTACTATAGGCGGACCAACTGGAGGATCTCTCACACTTTCAAGTACCCTACAACCTAGTTCGCTACCCACAATTGTGTCTACTAGATCGTCTATGCTTGAATCAAGTATCTCTAGCGAGGTAGCAAGTTTTGGATCCTCTTCAACATTTCCTCCGTTTCCCATCACAAACTCGACAGCGTCTCCTTTGGTCCCGACTGGCACTGCTTTCTCTAGTATAACATCTAGTATATCCCTTTCGGGTATCCAGTCCACTACTGCGCTCTCCTCTAGGCCCCTATTCCCTTCATCCAACTCAACAAACGGCCCGAATGGCCAGACGGTTCCTCCAACTGAAACGAGTTCATCAACAAGGACTATTTCTGGGGGGATAAGCAGTGGGTTTAGCAATACCGGTTCTGTCGCCTCTCAATCTCCACCATGGCCCAATTCA